GTCACGTATTTCAATTGCTTCAAACACCCTTGACGTTCAAAACGCATTAAAAACAATAGTGAGCCACCGATTTATTTATGCAAAAAAGCGTTCCAGTGCATAACAATCATTTTCACCTTGAATACCATTGAAATCCAATATTTATCTATTATTTATATTTATTTATTTATATTTAGCAACCAACCCAACCAAGCCTTCCATCCCTTCGGGGTCGGTGAATTGGTACCAGACTCGTCTGGGAGGATAAAAGCACTGACTTGTACATCGGCTGGCCACCGCAAGTCATTGTATAGGCCACATACGCACTCATTACGCCACTACGATTCTGAATGGAAGTCGAGTGCGGGGGCGCATCCCTCAGACGGGATTGATTAACGCCAAGAACTTTATCCTTTTTATATTTAGCAAATCGGAAATGGAGATGTATTTGAACTGATCCTTACCAATTGTACAAGATAGTTGTCTTTCCAGCATTATCGAGTCCAACGATTATAATCTTGTGTTCTAAATTGAAAAGTCACGTAATTCAACAAAAAAAAAATGGAAACATCACTGCGAGCAAAGACATATGCTTCCAATTGAGACAAAAGATGTAACTTTTAATGAACAGCAAAAGGTTTAAAAATTTCGAGAGACTGACGCAAAATAGGTCACAAATAAACATAAAAACCATAACTCTGGCACTTCTTGATGCATACCGTCCGCACAAGGGCTAAGACCATGGACGAGATTTAGTTTCCGCTGAGTTAAGCGAAATCTTTTGAAATAAAGTTAACATTTCATACTACACCTACAAAACCTAACGAGTCCGGAGATTACCAACATTTCCCATGAATGGAGCTCACTACGTCTGTTGAAAGTAAGTGATACAATGAACAAATCATTACAGTCTAGTCCATTTATCCGATTCAAATAAGTTCAAATACAAAATAAATGATTAACCTTAGCGTAAAGACCACCTGCTCACCTTTACCTGACCACCACAATCGCCAGAGTTTTGCGAGGATCAGTCCCATAACTTAAAACATTCGAAGACGATTGACTTCGAAAGGATAGAATCTAGAATAGCCGATCGAAGGTAACTCATTAAGCTTCACGACCGTTGGCCTCATTATCATAACGCCTATGTTGTGTGCCATGTGCAGCACGTACGACGCACTATGATACACGGTATAGTGATAATAGCGATGGACCGGAAAATTGGCTCGTGCGGGGTTGGCGCGAGAAGTGGTGTGCTCGGTTTTGCTCGATTAACCACCTAGACCCTAATACTAATGTAGGAGGTTAGATACTCGGTTGGGAGTGCCACAATGTCCGAATCGAAGCGTGAATTTCCTTTGGGCAGCTTTCCTTCTCCTACTCATTGCCTAATCTTTGAACCGGCTAGTGAATCCTGGAAAAGCGAGGAAGTGGATTGGGGAAATCGGTACTATTCTACTATTACACCCCAGAACTATTCTACTGTTACACCCCCAAAAACTCAAAATTTTAATTTTCGATGAAACTTCGCCTATAGGGGTAATTCGATGCCCTGATAACGAATATGACCTTCATTTTTGGCGTTAGCGCCATTTGGCTCCAATTTGGCGCCAAATTGACGCCAATTGGAGCCAAATGGCGCCAGCGCCAAAAATGAATGTTATATTCGTTATCAGAACCTCAAATAACCCATAAACGCAAGTTTTCAGCAAATTTGGTGAAAACACCCTTGGCGCCAAATTGGCGCTAATTGGCGCCAAATGGCGCCAGCGCCAAAAGTAAAGGTCATATTCGTTATCAGGGCATAGGATTACCCCTATAGGTGAAGTTTCATCGAAAATTAAAATTTTGAGTTTTTGGGGGTGTAATAGTAGAATAGTACCGGGAAATCTAATAACCATAACATGTCTATCGATTTCATGAATATGTCGGATGGGAACTTAGAGTTTCGGATCATTTCTGTCTGCGGGATACGCCCCGCACTTGATTTCCACTCAGAATTTTAGCGGCAGTGTGAGTGCGTACGTGGCATATACAATTAGAGAGTCTGGTACCATTCAACCAGCCCCGGATGGATGAAAGGCTTGGTTGGTCTAGACGAGTAAACCAATTAATCAAATCGACCTACTCTCAAACTCATACTCTCTACTTTGTGTTCAGGTATTATAGAAGTGATTATTCCAATAGTTCCAGTTCAGGAACCACTGATTTCAGGTGCTCCACATTCTAGATATGTAATAAAAAATTTATTGGACAGCTCATAAATAATTCAAGCACACTCAACGGATCACATAAGGCTGTACATGAGCATATCACAAGATTTTGAATACATTTTTGCTATAGTTTCCTAAAATCATTAAATGATCTAAATAGAACAGCTGAATTGTTTATAACCTGTGGTCACTATCAAACTTGCAGCCAAATTCGAAATAGTAAAACGAATTGGTTCCTAAGATAACAAAATTCAACAGAGCATTTAGATTTTTCTGGAATAAAAGGGAGAGACGGACACCATGTGTAGACGGTAGAAGTACACGAATGTTGTGCGCTACGAATGAAACAATAGAAACTGTGGAAGACTAATCCGCGAATATAATGAAAGGTCAAAAATGTCTCTTTCACAGACACATAAAAATAAGCAACCCGAGAAATGCGGTCTGCGGTGTCCAACCTTAGATATCTCTGATCCAAAGTTCTACGAGAGCGAGGAGTAAAGGCACGATGCCACTCTTACAAAGGGATAAAACGCTCACGTTTAAGGGATGCAGGTGATTCCTTGACCGTGTGCTCGACGAAACCCTTTTCGAATTAGTATAGTCACACCGACAACTGGACTGTTCGACACAGCCGCAATCTCACTGTCAAGCTGATCTTTTGGAATTTTGAGCACCGCTAGGTTGTCTCCTTCTTGACGATCATATTATCGAAAAGATCTGACTCTGGTGCTTCTGCCAACTTTTTCTTTAACAAACCCACCGTGGTTTGAAGTTCAGCAACCTAGAAGAACCAATTCTTATTTTAATGAGACAATAAGGGAACAAAAGTGATAAATGGACTCACCCTTTTCCTCAGTTTAGCACAAGATGCGCATCCAAGCAGTGATTCAGCCGGGATGGCGGCCTCTTCTATGGGTGTGAGAGATCCCGTTGAAAGAACGCTATTCATTTCAGTTTTACGTTCAGTAAAGGGACTTTCGCTTATGATCTTCACAGTGGATGGCTCCTCCATTAAAGCTATAGCGGGAATGCATCGGTCATCATGAGTGTCGCAATTTGGTAACAATTTGTCGGCAGTCTCAACGCTTGACGTGGATTGCTCTTCGGCATTCGTTGCAGAGGCACTGCAGGAGTCATATGGAGCGCTACAAGACGACAGCAGCCTATCAGCAGTGTCATCATAGGATCCACCGAATGGCTCTGTAAGTTTTTCGTCGGAAGGAACAAATGGATCGTCACAAACGCTGTATGTTGCCGACAATCCATCTGCAATAGCAGCGTTAGAGGTGGATGGTTCTCCCGAATCTTCCACAGCGGGAACAAACGGCTCATCGTACATACTGCCCAGTGATGAAGGCCTATCATCAGAGTCGTCAATAGCACTGAAAAAAAAGCTCTCTCCATTTAAAAAACTTATACTGTCATGCTCATAATCAGATGGCTTCCAACTGCTTTGCTGCAAGCGGCAATGGCGCATGGTTCTAAAGATGATGGTTCGTAAACTGCTACCGAATCAAATTTTTTTGGATGAAAGGATTGAAGAGAAAAAGCGAAGAAGTAGCTCAACTTGACTAGCCGGGCCGGCAGAGACGGACTTTGCTGCTATTAATGCCCCCACACAAAGAAAACTGCTATAAGAACCGATACATTATAAATGATATATTATGTATGTTATGTTGTTTTCTGAGTGTGGTTTACGAGAAAAGTCCTAAATTAATTCGTGAGATGGCTCTGATATCTCGGTGGAAAGGCCCACACGAGCACACAGTAGCTCAAATCCGATAGGATCCATAAAAGAACCAAATGAGAAAATATTAGAAGATAAAGAAACTGGGGTACTAGCTTGATAAGAGGAACTACCACAGCGCTGAAATAAAGATTGAATCGGAAAGAAATCGGCATTGCCCAAGTTCTTCAAAAAAGTAGGAGCTTCACCAAGGAAATGGGTTAAACAGCAAGTAAGGATGAAAAGAGAAAGCGAACCTTCCTTCCTCAGCCAACGAAACGGTTACTCGTTGTTTACGTTTCTGCCACGCGACGCTGGACATGGCTTTTTTGATGTCTTCAGGTCGAATCCAATAAAGCCTGGTTCTAGGATCATTATACACCTCCCGTATCATATCCCGTACACTGTCCTCGTCAAAATTCCACTCCAGATATCTTGCAATGACCTCTCTGTCTTTTTTGGTAAGGGGAAGAGAGGCAGCATTAACATCATGACTGATATGTCGCACGCAGTACTTCACGAATACAGTGCCGTCGTCGTAGATGTACTCCTTAATTTTACGCCATCAGACCAAGTTCCTTTACTGACAAAATCAAGCCCGCAATACATTCAGCTGAGCCCGCATTCAGGTAGCACTTGATGCGCAGTCGATGCTCAGCACAGCCATTCATCGACCGCGCGTGCATTTGCCAATTATTGCGCCCGTAACTGTGACAGTAATCAAAATGAGGTTAGTAATATTTACATTTAAAAAAGAAGTACAGTAGCCATACTGTGCATCAGGAAGCAATTTTTTGGCACGACGACGTGTAGAATGGACTCTGAAAATCAAATAATGAGGTACAGTTCCCTGAGGCAAGAGTACTTTAATCCGGATGAAGAGACTAAATCGGTATTGTTCTTCTTACGAGAAAGTGCGATGCTGAATTGAATGAGGAAAAAATGCCAAAGAAAATCCGTTTTTCGAACCTGCTGCAACGGTAGTAGGCTATTTCGTGTACCACATTACGACTTCGTCCAACATTGAGCCAGGCTGTACAGTACGCTTTTGCTACCGACTCTTTCCAAGCCTATAATTAGCTTAATTGTGGAACAGGACTAACTTCTCAACGGTAATGAACGGAAATAATAAAGTTTCAAGAGCTCTGGCTGAAAGCTGAAAGCTGAAAACCTAAACAGAGAGAGACAGGGAGCTCCCACAGTGAAATAGCCATGTGAAATGTGCGACTCAATTCATTTAAAGTGAGTAGAATTCAGTTTCAATGAGGGGCTCTGAAACGTGTACAAGCTACCGGCAGGTTGTTGTAGCAGCTACACTTGGCGCTAATCTGTCCACATGGGGTTGTAGACAACAAAAAGGAAGGTCTAACTTTTAGAACTTATAAGACATTGTGATCGGGTAATATCAGTGCTCGACCTGTCCCACTTCAATTAAACCATCAGTGTGCCCGAACAAGAAGCACACTCACCTCATAGTCTTCCACACTCTTGAATAACTCGGTTTGAACCACGCATGCTTCATCTTTATGAGCTTCACGACAGTGTTTCACAAGATCTTCTTGGAAGCGTACTCTTGACGGACAAACTGGGCATACAATGGAATATTCGGACTTTTTCTCTTCATCGTGAAATCGTGCATTATGTTTGAACAGAGATGTAGGCTGCAACCAACGATTGCAGAGTTTGCATTGTATAATTTCTTTTCCCGTGTCGTACGACAAAGCTCTCTTCGGAGGAGGCGGAATGTCTTGCACATCCTGTAATTCGAAATATTATAACGCAATTTATAACGAAACTGACAAGTTGCCTCTTTCCAGAAGCCAATTAAGCTAAGGTTTCGGTTTTCACACATTTGTTGGAGACCAATTCTTAAACAAACCTCTCATTTAGGAACATTACCGAAGAAAAACTTTCCCTTGAGAAAGAAGAAATTGTCATGTCATCGCCTTCTCTAACCTAGGCTCCAGCGAAATAATCATCCAAACTGTGGAACCTAGGCTACAACAATGTAGTTCCAAAATTCAACATAGTCCTATCAGGGCTTTTATTGAGAAGCGACTTTAATCACCTCTCCTCAATCTTGTTTCCCAACAATTTTACTTATCCAGGTAGTTTGCTTGTTCTTATTCCAAAGACACAAAAGACGGCTGAAAATCCAAAAGGAAGAAAAGAAATATGGCAGCATGACACAAGTGAAAGTCTTGTGCTAGAGCCACGCCTGTTGACTTATTCAGAATAACTTTTTTGGAGCAAGGCAGGTTTCTTTCCAAAAAACTCTACCTAGAAGGCCACTCAGTGAGAGAAGAAGTGCCATTAACCTTGCGTTGGCATAACTTCAATTATGCAATTCAGCCGAAAAGTAATCTGTTGATTTTTCATTCACATGCGAAGCTAGTTATCCGGCAGATTTGCTAAAACTGGTGAGAAAATATGAAAAAATCATAAACAAAACCAACCTTTATCAATTCCAGAGTGCGCCTTATCATGACCGTTATTCTTGCAAATAAAACGGTAGCAAATGCAATAAAATTCCAATTCTGAACGATTTTAGATGTATCGAATAATTTTGATAAAGCCCATTGATGCAGAACAGGAAAAAAGCACAGATCCTGAAATTAACGATTACAGCACATATTTACCATTTAGGATTGAATTACATAAGTGAGCTCCCATTAGAATCGGAATGAACAAAAAGATAACCAGATTTCAATGGTCAAGGACAAAACAAGGACAGTGAATCAAATTGGAAAGGGCGTGACCAACTAGTCTAGTAGTAGACGCGAGCAGTTTGCGTTGCGCGAGCGCGACTGGGTGGAATCATCGGGAAGTCAATGGATCGGAGAACGACCGTCCCCAGGATGACCGTATTAATCACGCAAAGATGAAAATCTGGAGATATTGTATGCGTCTATTGGGACCTGAAAGGTAACTGATAGAAATTGCAGAGACGCGCCGCGGGCGGCCGAACTGGGTCACCTGTTTCGCCGGCAGGCGCGCGTCCGCTATCGATTAACTGCGAAGCCCATATTCCCTCAATAGCCAATGGTCTAAGGCAACATTTATTAGTCGGGCAGCTACCCACCATATATTCTTGTAAAAGGGGATGTGATCTTATTGGAACTGGAGCTATCAGCTAGTCTTTTACGCGTCATTGAGCTTAACCCTTTCCTCCGAGCCTCCCAGTGGTATAGCTTTGCCTGGGTAACAAAGATACTTGACCAGCTGCTTTTGCATATCTGCTAGAGACTATCCAAGCACTAATTGCCGTGAAATAAGTGACGGTCCCCAGGAAAATGATTGAAATCAGCCATCAGAAAGTTTATATCGCTCTAGTTTGATAGAAATTATGAACGTTCATAATAGCAATGGATTTACTCAATGCAAAATTCAGGCTATTTGGTTTCACCATTTTTCTCCGATCGATGAAGTAAAGTAATGAAGTTCAACTTTTCAGAACTGCATTGAATAGGGATTGCTTTGTTATCAAACTAGTTGCTGGGAAGCAGGATACACAATACAAACTTCTAATGTAATTGTTTAGCCTTTATACTAGCCAATCACGAGGCCGTGACCACACCACCCCCAGTCTAGCTGCATTTATACTACGGACGCCAACGCCCGCGTTGGCTTAGGACGCTGACCGGCACTATAAATGCAGCTCCTCCCACAGTTGTTTAATGCGCTCAGAGAGCATTTAAGGATACGATATTTGTTATGGATCAGCGATAAATCGCAATTTGACAGTAGAGATATTGCAATCACATTTTCATTATAGGCGGTATAACATACAATATTCGCAAGACAGATGAAGACAACAAAGAAGCTGGGCATAAAATGTTTACAGTGACTATCGAAAATTGATGACTATACAATAGCTGCATCCAAACAAAAACATATACAACTGAACGACTTTAGTCAAGAATCGATTGGAATAGCTTGCCAAAGAAACTCCACGAATGAATCCACCTTAGACCCGATTACAAGATTAGTCAAAAACGATCAAAAAAACAGCCTACTCCTTCAAAGCTACACAAATGTTGCTTATTAAACTGATATCCGGCAAAACTCCCTGTTCATATGCTTAGCTACAGGCACTGCAATACACAACTTGCGATATGGGCAAATCAAAATAGCAGCTTAAAGGGGAACTGAAGGTCACCACCCGTTTTTGGAGAGGTGTTAACTAAAGAAGTTCATAAATGAATCACAGAAACGAAGAAAAAAAGGAAAGCAAAGCAAAAGACACTCAAGAGAAGATTCATAAGGAACTATCTACAGTGGGTGCTCTAGGTTTTACTCACTACAATATGCTTAATAGTCTAGTTAGTTCATTGAACATCGCTAGCACATCAAAAAAAAAGTTCAACTTCGTTATATACAGTAACTCAGCTATTAGAAGGAACCACAGATTGTCTGTCGATATAGTCACGTAAACGAGAAACATGCTCGATAAAGTAGTTGAGCATTGTTGACTGCACCAGTCGCTTCGGAAGTCCTCCCTTCAGATCCGTGCGCATAATCCATTCCAAATGGGATCCTGACGTAGGATCACCGATGGCTCGTATACAACTTGGCCCATTCGTTCCTCTTAATTGATCAAATAATAAGCAAAGCCGAAGAGATGCCTGCCCTCAGGTTCTTGCTGGGACAAATGCGTTTAACAAAAACATGGATTTTTTGGCCCTGATTTGGATAACGCTACAAATAACTTTCTCAGCACTCTGGTAAGTGCAGTGAGTTCAGTTTGCGAAAATACAGCGAATCAAACCAATTGTATGGAATTTAACATTAGGAAGTTCATAACATAACAAGGACACGGTAACGCCTGAGTATCACGTGAGACATCAAAAAAATTTCGCGAAACAGAAGAAAAAAACGCCTTTGAAAACAAGCCTTACCTAATGACCTTCTTATTGGCATGCACTGGACAAGCTTGAGACTCGACGGAGACGAACACGCCAGTGTACGTCTGCACAGCAGAATCGAAATGTACTCTACGGATATCAACGAAATCACTGAAAAAGTGGATGTGATTACATAAAAAAAACCCTGCAGATATTTTCTGAACAAGGAAGAGTAACAACGCACCGTGAAGAAACGTAACCCTTTAGGGCAGGTGCAATCATCGTATAATATAGATCAGTAACAGGGTCAATAGTGCCGATCACCTGTAACCATCCCAATATGCTCAAAGAAAAAAAGGAAAAAGAGAACTGCTTATTCTGAATCAAATCTCTTTCTGTTCATTCAAAATCTTACCCTGGCTTCAACAAGTTGGGTATTCCACCGTAGTACATCTCTCCAAGCAGCATCAAATAGCACTTGTGGTGTGCACGAGAAGTCCGATCGAATAAAGTAGGACAAATCAGGCGCTTGCAACACCTGTAACTACTGATCAGTACCTTTCAAGGCCGTTCAGCCGTAAACGTAAACGTTCTTCAGATGAAACTCGCAAAAAACTGAGCAAAACCAACAAGAGTACGAAATTAGGATTACACGAATGGCTGCGAATCAACATGGGATGGTTCCAACCAAGACCTGAGCAACACGATATACCTACTGCAAAATTCAGACACAAAAATCACCCCTATGCTATGAGAACCGAAGAAAATCCCTTCACAATGCTTTTAGAAAGTTGCATTTTCTTACGCTAAGGGAATAAAAGAAAATTCCTTCACATTACTGTTAGAAAATTATTTTCAATAAGTCTCACCGTGGGTTCCTTGCACTTCAGCACCTTCCATTCTCCCATTCTTGCTTGACGCAAAAAGCATTCGATTTTCTCGGAAGCATCCAACAAAGCCTGAAATCACAACCTAGTCATCCAGAATTCAGAACGAAACACTTTTAAAAATTCACTTTTTCATATTTTTCTCTCAGGTCCACAGAAATTTGACCCCCACGCACTCGAAGAGGGCCATTACCAAAACCATGTGATTCATCTTCTGGAATAATCGAAATGGAATCGCAAATGAAGGTTCGAAAACAACTTGGAAAAATTCTGACCTGAAGAAAATTCCATAGCGCTGCGAAACTCATCATCCGACATATACCGTGAAGGAACGACGTGATTCATGCGAGGTTCTCTGAAGGAGTTACCACGCACATGAACGGACAAATCGTCATGATTCGTATAGGATTCGCTGTGCTCGCCTGCAACTGACATTCAATAACGCCTTACCGCTCCACTACACCCACAAGCTTTCCCACTAAACTAATCAACTGAAGCGTGCATAGAACTCACATCTGCGCTCGCCTGGTAAAACCTTGAAGGGCATTAGCCATAATTCAAACCAAGCAATAGAAAAAGAAGTGAGCACTAATAGATACTGTGGAAGGCCGCCTTGTTTATGCGAAAAGAAGAAAAGAACCTAAAGAATGAATGCACTTACTCTAAGAACAACAATGCTAACTTCTAACAGAAAGTATACCGAAAAGACATGCAAACTACCTTTATCACAATGTAAATGGTAGATAGGGATGTCGTGATTGCTACTGGTAGCCAATGTCGCACGACAAAAATAGCGTAACACAGAATGAGCACAACCTGAATGCCATTGTGAACAGCGGAACAAATCTTTTTAAAGCTCAACTTTTTTCATACAAGAAATAAAAAGGCGTAGAAAATAGGATTCAATTCAATATAAAAAAAGGTAAAAGAATTTTTTCTCCTCTGATTGATGAGTGTAAGAGTAAGAAGGTTTGCTCACCATTCGAACAAGAGCGCAAAGGACTATATCAAATAAAGATATGCTCATAAAATGAGCATCAAATAGGTTAATCTCCTGGAGAAATACTGTCGGCCAGTCATCTCCTTTGGTGACCTGAAAAAGTGACGATTTGATATATGACCATAACAGCTTCGTCACGTAAACAACTTCCTCGCCATCTTCCTTCTGCCGCAAAAGGAGGCGTTCTGTTTCTCCTTCACGAGGGATTACATATTTCTGAGTCTATTGGAAGAACAGCCTACTCCGTTGAGTACGTTTACTTCATTGTAAGCTGTTAATACGACTCCTCGCTTTTCAAGCGCCAATCCCAAAGATGGGATCAGAATTCTCAAAACGCTCCAAAGGAAAGAGGAAAGCCGTGGCATGACTACGGCCACGAGGTACGATGGATTTTCATAGACTTTCCCAATTAACACAGCCAAGGAGACTTCGCAGAATCCAGTTGACTCCGCTCCAACCTGTCCCTTTCTCTAATTCCCAGTATTAAAAAGTTATTTAAGAAAAGTTGTTGTTCTACTCTCTTTTTCCAACTTCATCCCATAAAACTGTCAAAACGAAGGGCATATTTAGGAAGGCAGCACAAAACCTTTAAGAAGGTAATTTCGTTCAAGTTTAAAGTAATATAAAAACGTAGAAATCCCGACAAAAAATACTGACGTAAGGAACATTAAACTGCCGACATACCGTACATAGCAGCCAAAGTAACGTAGTGAGAGTGGCATCGAAAATTGAGATGATAATAAAGCGGCGACGATCCTTGCTTAGGGCCGTTGATTCGACACCGAGTAATGGAGCACGGCCACTCATTCTTGCAGCAAGTGAGCGCCTTCCAAGTACTGGCGCATTCTTTTCGCTTAAAAAAATAATCAATCGGGTAATCGCATAAAAAATCACAAAACCATTACTACTTCAATGAAATGTTGTTATTAGCTCTATTTTCTGTCTCATTCAGTAAAGAATTTGCGCCAGCTCGCATCACCTGAGTGGGTTGCCTTTATCGCATCGCAATTTAGACGGGATGGACGGGTACCCGTGCCAATCAATACTCGGAATTAGGGACCAAAAATCTTCGGAGGGAGGGTAGCTCGATCTTATTCAGCTCGTTAGTAATACAAGTAACGAGGAACTTTCCACCCGAACCACAACATAAGGCAAGGAAAATGAACGTGTTGCCGCCTTATCGTCTGTTCGACACGGCCATCAAGCGGAACATTCTACTAGTTATCGCTTAACGGCATCTGTGCCATGTGCCATCACCTTCTACATCAGCACCCAATTATACATTTTCTGCTGAAATGTTGAGAAAAATCGATAAATGCGAAAAAACAAATTAATCCCATTACTCAAGAGACGGCAGCACGCTTTCATTCCATTCTCACATTGATTTTTCCAGTAAAAACATAGTCTTCTGGATATTGATATTGATTGAACGAAGATTTTTAAGTTCTACGTGCAATGTCGCTACATAGAAAGAACCGGCCGTCTCCTTGTTTACTCGGACACAGCGATAAAGAACGAATAACGTGATGATATTGAACGATACACAAAAATTTTGATATACATCCGGGCACCGGGCTCTTATGGATCCGGATAGCACAAGTACGGGTTCGATTCCCGTCAGAGGCCAAAGTTTTGTTCACAATATACAGTTTTTGTATAGAACCAACTATTATTACGTTGAAAGTCTCATATTAATCAGAAAATTCCGCAGCAACATGGCAAGGTGCGATTTGAACCCTATGTAGCTTTTTTGTCAAAGACCATTTATGTCCAAGGAATATGTATATGTATGACTTCCACTCGATGGTAACGGGTTTCTCAAAACTTTCTGAATCTTCTTATCAGAACACCTTCCCCTTTTCGCCCATCACATGCTTGGTACTTATACTCCCTCCAAGACCTATATGCTTCTGTTTCACCACGTGGTCGAGCTTGCTGCCCATGATGGCGCAAACTTCCGCAGATACCAAACAAACCGTTCAAAATTCTTTCGTCCCCAATAATTAGGGACTATTTGAGGTTGGATATTAAAAACAAAAGCAGTCATCCAATGATGAGCAAAATGGTCCGATAAACCCCACTTAAACAGCTGACAGAAATATACGTTTTCATGGCTTGGAGCAGCACGTAACGAAAGCCAATTTGAGGCGACTTGTAGTTTCAATATGAAAAGCAAATTAATAAAACGTATGAGAACATTAATGCAGGCTCATCTGCCTGTCGAAATGATCCGCTGAATAGGAAAATCTCCGTATAATCACCTCATAAGAAAGGAAGAAATCTCAGGTACGTAGTCGGACAGGGGAACGTCGAATAGCTAGCTATTGATCGGAAGCGGTATGTTTGTCTCATAAGGGCAACAACATCGTGTCGCAAAAAGAGTTGCTTATCAGAGGTAGAAACGACAGACTACAATTTAGATTATTGGGGCCAAATCACCTGTACGACTACTGGATCCCCCTATGCACCCGATGGAATCCCTTCTATGTTTCCAACCCTCGTAAAACCGCCATAAAGTAGGAGGTAGATTCATTTTTTTTATCCCTGTTATCTACACAGCTCGAGAAAGATCGTCGACGGGTGTGATGCAGTTGTATAAGTCGAGATCGACCCCTTTAGCGGCAAAACTAATTGAATAGGCATATAACAATGATGAGGGAGACCTTTCAAATCCTTTTGCAAAGCAATTGTTAGTTGGTGTCATGTTTTATATTCTCCAACTCACATTTTCCTTTTTGTGGAATCCCACGTAAACTTTTCCCATAGTGAAGTAATTTATCCAGATCATGCCTCGAGAGTTTCTCTTTTTCCTTACCCATTCTGTGGGTGATTATGCCCACAGATGATGGTACATATTGACACATATTGACCGACATCCAAACAGACTTATTCTGAGGGAACGAGGTCACTGACCTGACCGATACAACTACCAGTCTCCCATCATCGGTTCCCTTCGACTCACACAACGAAATCCCACAGCTCCATAAAAACTAATCCAGTGAGGAGATAAATAAACAAATAAATGATGACTCATTGACACTCTACTTCCGAAACTCTCTCCTTTAATACTTTTTGATTACACTGATTTACTGCAGTAAACGATTTTTGCTTCATTCACTCGTGCACATCAACTTTGCATTCGAATAAGAATCCCATGAGTTACACAAAAACTTTGGAAAATAGTAAATTACAGGTAAGGAATGAGATGGTTTTCAGGGAACTGAAAGCATCGAAAATGATTAAGAGCTTGTTCATGGTTACTGAAGTTCCTTTCACTTTCACCATTCATTTGGTACAACAGGCAAGATAAGAAAATATATCGCTATTAAAAATGATTTCATTTAAATATACCTGCAACGAAGTCAAAGAAGATGGCCGGAAAAAAGTACAGCCGATTCGAGATCGGGATCTCGCGGTCGCAAAATGTCGTAAAGTACCGTGTACTTGATGCACAATGTTAGTTCAAAGCGAAAAAAGGAATTACGGTAAGAATCTGGATCTAAACTGGATGTCGGATGGTGAGGAACCATAGAGAAGTTCATCGACACCAAAGTGAAGTGAGTAATGTGATGACGCTGTTCGTCGATGGGAGGTACATGCACCGCGTTTCAAGGACCAAAAGCGCGCAGGAACTTTGCCTAATCTTTCTCCTCCCCTGAAAGGACAGTATGGTGTACAACAGCTTCTCTCTATCCTCTTTCCCTCCTCTCTCTGTCCTTTTCTTCCTAATCCCAAGTTTGATTCCAAGGGATAAAACTGGTTCAAGGATGCCAGTATAGAAGCGTAACGACCTGACCTAAGTTACCACCCGCCCCTCTATACGTCTTGTGACAACCGCACCGCGTAGGCACGCCAGTGACTTATTCACTGCACTTACAAGAGCAACTTCAGCATAAAGATAGTGGTCAGACGAGCGAATGAATTATACAATGATAGGAAACCAAATGCTACAAATTATCACTCGTGATATAAGAGTTGACATGAAACAATTCACACCTGCAATAGGTCGATATAGGGTGGACCTATTTTCACCTGATGAGGTGGGCCGCATTGCGACAGCGCGCATCTCAGCCCTGCATTTGTGGCCGACAGAATACTAACTGTTGTAAGCCATTTCAAACAATGTCGAAGAACTTTTTCTAAGAAAACACCCACATCGAATAATTATTCTCATAATTGATGATCTTTCGGAATTTCGTACTCTGTGAACTTTGATACCTTTTAAATCGGACTTTAATGCTAGAGATAACGATGGTTAGGCCTAGACATGGAAAGAACGTTCATAATTTCGCTCAGTTGAAACATCCTCCCTGGCTGCTTTCAGACTTCATCGATTCTACTGACGTCCGTCCGTCCGTCCGGCACGTTGCGTACGTGCGACGCCAGCCCTAGCCACTTGCCAGTATTTTCGCAGAGGCGCACGCAACGCGCCGAACGGACATCGGTCGAACCGTTGAAGTCAGAAAGCAACCTTGGGTTTCAGAACGGCCTGGGTTGGACTCTCTTTGTCCCACCCAGAGGTTCTGCAAACGGTTCAACACATTGACACAAATGGCAAATCGCCATGCTTATGGATAGCTCATTTGGGCGAATATTCAGTCAAATGGCTTACTAATTTCAGGACAACGTCAAATGCATGGCGCGCTCAGTGAGTGTTGAGGTTATGGCTAATGGTCACCAAAGACATGTCACTAAGACAAAGCCCATTAAGTTCTCCTCAAGTAGGAAAGTACGAGAAATTCCACACTTCACAATACACTTGAAAGATGGGACAAATACCTATCAAGTTATTTTCTTTCTTATTATAAATTACTGTCCAGGCAGCATGAGCTTAGACGAGCTAAGCTAGACCAAAGATCTAACGAATTTTCATCTTCCAAGGGTACCAATCCAAGGTAGTATGAGCTCAAATCCGTCTATAGGGTATGGATCTGGGCAGAAAAAAAAAAAACAGTAGACTGAATTGAAAGTGTCAAACCGTTCAAACGACGCATTCTATTGAAAAGGACATATTCCGCCACCACGTGTAAGACTAGGCCAAGTCTTCGTCCACATATCAAGTTATTAACACGGAAGAAGAAGCGTCTACCAAAGACTTGAGCGGGAAAAACCGAACACGAACCCATTGTCGGGCAAACAAAATAATGTAATGTACATATTTATTCTTCAAATACTACGTGTATCTAGGTCTACTCTAACTATTACCAGTCAACTCGTCTTATAAAAAACACAACCTGTCCAACTAAATCATAAATTACAATCTTGTACACGACACTTCGGACTTTGTTTGGACTATAAACGCACGATAAGATTAATTTTTGGTATGAGGGCAAAAACTATTCATCAAAAGAGTGTCATAAGATTAACAAACACTACAGTATGACCGACAGACAACTCACAAGGGAGCGATGACTGGGTTGAAATCCTCTTCAAACAATAAGATAAACAAAAAAGAAATGAAGCTCTGTTGCGTTCTGACTACCACTGGTTTCAAACAGCTAACAATGTTGTGATAGAAGATAAAAAGTAACGGCGAAAATAGCTGACAATAAGAGAATAGGATCACAAAAAAGGTTCATAAGTCCTGTGCTCAGAAAGGAATGAGTACTTCTTAAAGGTAGTGATTCGGAAAAAACCTTGTACATATAATTCATAAAAAACACGACTTTGAAATCTCTAGGTAGACGAAGGCACGATAAAGAGAAGAATAAAGGCCGGCCAGAACTTGTTGCCAGGCTCAAGGAAAGAAGTCGGATGAATGCCAGTGACTACGGAGATTGCAGCTTATGAACTGGCCCACTTACAAAATTTCAAGCTCAAAATTAACCTCACTCGCCTCGAATATTTCCCGTTAACTTTCCAGTCACTGTGAGAGGTCTAAGTGGGCCCATGCCGTCGCCGCTGGTGGGTCGGAACTAAGCCGCGAGGACCAATAACACGACAAACTGATCTAGCTCCTCGCACCGACGGCCATGGAATTTACCTACCCATACCCAACACTATCTTACCCAACTAGAAATACACTTTAACTGATACAGTCAGGCAACAGATCCACATCAGACTTGACCACCTAGGCCAGTTCCGGACAGGAAGTTAGCTCATGTTTAACAAGCCAGTCAATTGGGCAGTCTGTTTCGATCGAAACGATACACTAACTAAGAACCTCGGTTTCTGCTTATTCTAGACTTGTAGATAGATCTTGGTGTACTATACTTTTGGGACACAGTCAGATCATAGAGGATTCCGGCACAACACATTAAGGAATAACGACGACTATATGAAATACCTATATGAAAACTAGAGCAGAAATGAGAAAGAAAGAAAAACGAAATCAACGAACACCAGGGAATGTAAAACACGTCCAGCATTGTAAATGTATAAACATTTGATCAGTAACAACTAACAAATAGATATGAGATAGATATTGGGTATATGAAAGTATACATGGCAGTAAATAGCAGTTAAATCGCTTCATGGAGCTTGTACCTCCACGGCACTCGACCGCTGACGTTCCTGTGCCTTTCGTACCGATTCGACAAAGTCGATCACCTAGGCCACCAAATGTTAGCAATACTAGATGTTCACGTAAGCTTTTGAGTAACTTCTTCGAACACATTAATGCTCCTCTGAATATTCTACGCACCATCTCAAACCGTCAAAATATGCAATTACACAGTGTGCACATTTAAGAGCCTAAATGCTTGGTCTACGATGACTGAACGTTTACAATTCCAACCCTTTCCCCGGGGTTGAGCTGGAGAACCGAAAAAGGCCTCCGCTTTACACATAAATTTCGAATGTTACCCAATACCCTGGTGTTCAGAACCAACTATTTATCATAAACTCCACAGGAGAGGAGGTCATCCTTGTTCACAAAAGACGAAGAACGAGAGAGGGAGAATGCGTCGGCGAGAAGAGTAAAGGGGTCGCGTTAATAACTTCCCTTGAGAAGTTTCGAGTCCATACTTTAAGTACACCTCCAAGCCAGTTCCGCAAGATCGACGAGTTTTCCAAAATCGGAAGATTGGATGAAACTGGCGTAAAGGTGGGAAGGCACTTTTTGAAGGTAATATCAAAAAGACTGGACATCGATCTTAAGTTGGAAGTCACACTAATCGAATTTCGAATGCACTTGTTTCGACTGGCCACTGAAATTCACTGAACAGGCCGGATATCCATCCTGAAAATCGTCAACACAAAAAAATCAGCTTGGCTTGCTATGAAGGTGTGAACTGGTTCAAAGAAATCTCTCAGCTGACCCGAATCAACGACATAATGGTGGAGAGTGTATGTCAGAGTATGATTAACACGAACCATCATCGGAGTCTTTCATAGGCCCAGTTAATTGGACAAATCGGAGTCTTTACCATCAGAGACGATTACAATCAACAATCGCATTTCATTCTGCATGAGCCCACTCAGTAAACCCTAACAATCGGACTCACTTTGAGGGCAGGTCCAAGTGCTAAACCCATATAATTCATAAGCAGTTCTGTAGTCAGCAATCCCAATGAACGTCCATCAATTTGCTGAAAGAAGTTCCGATTCACAGAATTGGAAAAATGGACAAAGAAGAAACCGCTGTCCGGGACGTTCACACTTACCTGTTCGACGAACTTTGCGACAATCGTCTCATCAAGCAATTTTCCCAACTCGCTAGCCACCTTCTCTATCGACCACTGTTTCATTGGTGGTGAGAAAGCCACAACTGGAAAAGAACGCATTCAGTAATTCATCGGCGGAGCTAAAAAAATCTCACTAGTGCTGAAGTTACAACCTTTTTGGCACCCTTCCATACTCTAGGGGACCTCAAAGTTGCCGTAGCTAACCAACGACCGTACGTTAGCTATTTAACGGTCTTTGGAAAGAACAAAGCAAAACAAAAACATTACTGAAATGGTCAGCGGATTTAATTCAACAATACATTTTGGTTGACTTAGCCGGGGAAGTGGTCTTTGAAGCATAAAATGGCTGAAACAAGGATCTACCGAGTCTACTGTACCCTTACCCTCAAAAATACACTTATAAGGGTCATGCCTAATCATTATTGGAAAGTGTGGTAAGTAAAAACTGTAGTATAACACCCATTCAAAACCGAAGCATACAGCAATTCAGCACGGCTCTCTAACGACAACTACATACTTAATCCAGTAATTTACCTCCTCGTTTGCCCTACAATCAGATCTGTCTGCCAACTGAAGGCAAAACGGGCAAAATAGAACAAGAAGGCACTCCGGGGCAGGTATTTGATCGGTATCGTTATCAACTATACTCAAATTTGGAACTAATGCACTAGAGAATAGTCGAAAGAATCTAAATGATTGCAGAATTAGCTCACTCTGATCCACGCTCAAGTCATTTGTTGGGATGCACATCGTACACGGTTCACCAGTGCTCGAGTAGAAATTTTCACAGACCTTTAGCTAAAAATGATTCAATGAACGATACAGTATTGAGGTCCACTGAACCGATACAACGGCAGCACTGTACCAACGGAATGCCAACCTTTCGCAAGAGCTGTTTAAGGTAGTTCCATGCATCTGCAGAGCTTTTTACGCATGGAATGAAACGTGATCGAGGCGTGCCACCACAATGTGCTGAAAATGATGCTAGTTCAGCAACAACTCACTTACAAAAAATCTTTCACGATTTTACGAAAACAGAGGGAATCGATGTCTCTCTATACAAAGCTCTTAGCAAGATATCAACTGTGCATCTATGAAACAGCCTTCTATCTTGAAGCCGTCTCTGCATAGTAAACATTGAAAGAGGGTATTCAGGGAAAAAGCATTAAAAGCATGACAGTTTGCACCGACTATATGTATATAAAGTGCTCGAGGACATAGAATTAAACAGAGAAAAGCACTAAACTGAAGTGATCTCAAGTGAGGAGCAGTACATACTACGATCTCTAACAGAAGCATTATGGGGGATCGAGTGCAAAAAGAATGGAAAAGGGGTAATCGGTTTTGGAGGAAACACGGCAGAGATTTAGGATAAGTACTGATTAACTAGCTCAAAGGAAATGTCTGACAGCTAAGCGGAAACAAGGATTGTCCCCAATACGTTTTGCGTCAATTATGGGAAGCAGTGAAATCCTTCGAAGGTAGTAATTCGAGGGTCAAATCACCTATATAAGGTAAAAGAGTCTGCTAGAAAAAGTCAAATATAATGCTTACACTGGTCAACTAACAAAGAACTAGGTGAAAAAATGTCATGGACACGTATTAATAAACACAAACAAAGCTACCAAACAGCAACACCAACGAAACACTCACCAGTAACAGACAGAATTTGGGTGACAGCGGCCGGTTGTACAAGATTCAACGTTATAGCATCGTCTTTCGAACAGTTCAACAGCTGTTGGACGGCCTCCCGAAGAGCGTGATGCGTTGCGAAGGGACCAAACTTGCGACGAATCCCAGCAACCTACGAAGGCGTTTATTTTCATAAAATCCTTGCCACTTGACAGTCGACAAACTAGATAGTTCAAAGTCGCGAAATCACAAATGACAGTTAAACACTGACCATCGCAGGATCGAGATGAGGACCAATGCGACACGAATAATTCACGAAAATAGTCACTGCAATCAGTTATTGTTGTAAATGCAATGAAAAATCAATCAGTTCACTTCAATTAGATGAAGAAGAACGAACAATAATGGTTACTGACTCAATCTTTCCTTCAGAGGTATTTCGTCTTTTGATAACAAGAGAACATCATGTGATCGCTGCTGACCAGTAGGACTAGGAGCAGCTACAGCGCTGCCCTGAGGTAAAGATCTTGATGAAGACGCTGGCGAGTCTGTTCTTTCTTCCATATTAACCTTAGGACGAATCTAGAGTGACCCAAAGATTTAATGATCGGAAACTGGAAAGTATTGAAAAGTCACACCTGTCCGACCACCTTCGCAAGATCACGATTCGTTTGGGAGGAAGACGGGCGAGCTACTATCGGACGTAAGCCAGTAGAATGAGGAGTATCCACTGATGCGGTAGTTGAAGAAACCACTTCTTCGGCTTCATTCTGAAATAGTGAGAGAATCGATTTCATCTCACTGCAGAAACTCCTTTTCAACTTCAAACTCACCTTGATTGCAGCGTACTGCGAGTCAGTTAGGCGAGACGACTGGGGATGTGAACCAGGCAGTGAAGGCTGTCCGCGCACGGACTTCGACGAAGACAAATACTAGAAGCCATTAAATTAAGAATTTAGGCAAATAATTATAAAATAATTGGATTATATTACCCGCAGGAATACAACTAGATTTACAGTAACACTATGACTTATTCCGGAGCTTATCGGAAAGCTTTCCGATAGCTATTTCTGGAGCAGTCTTCGAGCATTCCAAAATAGATATAAATATAAAGAGACGAGTCCATAAAGCTATCAGTAAACGCGGTCCCATATCAAATATTTCACAAGATCATCAACAAGTTTAATGAAGATTTGCGGTCTGTGAAGCTCTCCCAAACATTACTACATCACGAAACAAGCAAAAAGCAATGTAACAGTTGCAGTGATCCACGAAGAATTTGTCACACCCGTACTCACACCCGTACTTGTGCTTTCTGAGCAGCATGCTTTTATCCCTTACACTGCCGGGACCCCGCCTACCTTCGCCATCTTAATGGCTTATCATAGCTTATCAATACTCGCTTTAAGCAGCTTTGTTAAGACAAAGCTTAACAGAACGTTAAGTCAAAACAATATAGAACATAGAAACTCACTGCTACGGCTGGCTGCGAAAGTTGCTTGGCAAGCTTCTGTTGTTCCTTTTTAGCATGCATTAGGAGATCTGAGGGGTACAAATTATCATTAAACATTCAGAGTCACACAAAGTCAATAGTAAAAATACAGTGATCAATCCCTTCAGAACTACTACATACTGAAAGACAAGGGAATAAAAAACGGGACCTTAAGGCCCGTAAACATACCTTTGACTTTGTCTTCAACAGAATTCTCTACATTTCGCGATTGTTGCACTGCTAAACGTATCCTTTCTGCGGCCTCTGGAGTGACTGCTCTCTGAATTCACCAGAGTAACTTTTGAACGCCTTTACCCATACAGTAAGGCATGACTTGAGGTTAGCTTGAATTCAAAGCAGTGGTGTTTAGAATCGGAATGTAAAAGAATCAATGCGGTGGCATTTGGTTGCTAGGATCGACTACAATGAATATTACCCTACCACTGAACCTATATGCGATGCCAAAGCCAGTGCTGCATCAGAACCACGTGGCGCTGGGCTTCCTCCAGACGTACTCCTTTTAGAGGGTGGCGTAGATGTGCCACTCTTCGCTGACGACGGACGCTCTGAACATAGAAGATTGAACTCCGGTTACATGCAGCCTTTTGTACGAAATAATCAACCTAGGCGATATTGTAAGTAGCCAGAAAGATTTAAAAAATGGTATTACACAGTAAATTGTAAAAAATTCAGTAATTAAACGGTGACTGATGAAAACCGATGGTAATAACTCTAAAAGTGCAAACAATTTGATAGCATTTTTGTACCATGAAATAGGTCAATTAAGATGAAACACAGAGAAGGAAATAAATAGGGAAACTTTGGTATTCTATCCGTCCAGGTTCGATAGCGGCTTTGTCCTTGTAAGGAACCAATCGGTATTCGGCGAATCGTACAAGAATATATACATAATAATAAGGGTTAATCTATCAATTAATAACTGTAACGTCAAGTTCAAGTCCAGCCTAGTTCTCTTATATTGGGATGCATATTGATTGGGAACGATTTCGTAATTCTGATTTTAAAAAGCGCGCTCAACCAACTTAGGACCTATTCACTGATTGCCGTCGAGTAAGAATAATCAAAAAAAGTAAAAAAATCAAACGAAGAAAACGGATGTAAAATTATATCGAAGTAAAAATTCGCAAACATAAAAAGGTGATCTGAAAAATAAACGAGAAAATTTTGAAATTCCTAAACAGGAAGGTGGATGACAGAATTGCAAACTCACTTGTTGCTCGTCCTCGCTTTATACTTTGAAGCGGATTTACGCCCATATCGGATAATCGTTGAATGACGTGCTTGGATGACGAGGGTTGATGATGACTTATAACTGATGATCGATGTGCGGATTTAACGACGGTCGATCGTTGGCGCGGTTTGTGATCTGTCGTAGGCTTTGTTACCGTAGCCGAAGTAGATCGCACACCTATAATTGGTAATCAAAGTTATTCTTAAAAACACATAAGCGTTGCTATTTGTTCAACACGTCAATATTCATAACAAAAAATTAGCAGAACACCAATGATCGTCTTGCTGGACTAAAAAAAAGTCTGAAAAAAGGAAATCGCGCACAAATACTCTAAGAAAATAGGATAAAAAAGGGAAACAGATTGTAATATGATCGCAAGATGAACAGTTGTTGGGCCATCTGAAAGCGATGACGTGGTAACTGCGCGCCGATCGCCGATCGACTGAGATGAGGCTAGAGGCGCAGATAATAGCGCAGCGTCATTACAGGTAGAATTACAGGTTTCGACCAGTCGCGGGATGGGCGTGCCAACACAAAGCTTACACTAAAATCCCCAGATTGGCAGTGTCTAGAGTCTGCACCAGCACAATGTCGCTCGATAATGCGTCAACGCAGACTATGAACAGAGACAATTTGGGGATTTGGCGGACAAAGAATGAGCAGACCACGCATAGCCCATGAAAAAGGGATTCAGTCAAATCTAGACATTCAACTGCCGATTCGAAGAGCACATGCGTGGGAAAATACCGATTTAGATCTTGGGAACGTTAACAAATTGCCCACATCGAAATCGATTCGAACCGTATAATTGTTACGAACGTTAGAAAAAGTTCAAGGACAATTCCACAGGTCTCTCTGCAGCACCATCAACGGGATGCGCTAATTGTGCCGAGGAAAGGAAATCCCCAACAATCTCTTTAGATCTTATAATCTTGACTAAGTCGGGAAGAAATATGACGGAGGAGGGGGACAACAACTACATATTCTAAAAATCGCCCTCGACATGCTCCCTCTAACGCGGGCAGACAACGTTCCCCGAATCCTTTCCTTGCCCTATCCACATCCGGTACTGGTACTTGTTTTTCTTCATGACGCGGAGTATATCCCATTTTACTGCCTCGATCCCCACTGAAAGGATGGGAGGACACATTTGACCGAGGCAGCTGTTCCTCAACACCCACACAAGACAATCATTACTTCGAAGTGACCTATCTACGTCTACGCAGAATTAGGTAACGATATGCAGTGCTGTGAAGTAAAATTCCTTAACCTAACTCATAATTCGGACAAGGTGCCACGACCCCAAAATTTGCAGCAACACCACGAATGATCTGCCTAGCTCCTATACCGAGCCATATGCTGAACGCACTGAACGTGAAATGGAAATTCAATACCCGAGATGAACGGAGGGACAACGCGGGCATTAAATTTCAAATGGTGAACTTTCAAACGACCTTTCCCGTTGTCCAGGGTCAGAAAAATGACAATGGAGCACAAAATTGATAAAATATGCATGCAGTTGGTGCAGTGGGCGCATTGGGTTCGTTCATACTCCACCGACGTGCATTGTTTCTACCGACCGACGGGGTTTCTCTCTACGTGTGACAACACAGAATAGATTGCGTTCAGGGCCGTGAGGGCGGGTGCTCCATCGGCGTCCAGCGTGGCCGGGAACCCGTTGGTTGGTCGGTCGGTTAGTGGCAACAATGCACGTTGTTGGAGTCTGGATGCACCCGTTCAGAATACAGCGACGTGCGTTGAAGGAGCAGCTACCTTCTCACAGGACAACGCTGGACGCGCGACAATGACCTCTGCGTTGAAGCATGTTATCTCCCTAAGCGGTGAGCAATTCCGTCAGCGGAAGGTCAGTAACGCTGCGTATCCAACGTATGTCGCTGTATTCTCATTCATGTAAAGTAGCAAAATCCTCGACGATCATGTTACTTTTGCCTCAACGACTCTAATTTATAATTGCTCAAAAAAGAATTCGGAGAGAAAGACATGCCTTGGGGAAAATAGTACGCTCCACGGTTACAACCCTACTGTATGACGTGTTCCTCCATCACCATTTAGACGGCGCATCATCCCAGCAACACCCTCCACGCTTCACAGGACACTTGATAATGTAAAGTGGTTAAGGCAAAGTGAGGTAATGGTCGGGGGCTGTCATTGCCTACTTTACTATTCGAAATATTCCGCTCCACTTTCTACAGTCTAACATATGGGAACGAAAAACGTCCTTGAGCAAATCCATGGTGCCTGCCTATTTGCGCAGATATAGGCGTATGAATGCGCTCATTCGGGAGTTTGCGCCCACTGATGTGTCTAGTTCCCTTTTCTAGGGCGTTTAGAATATGGCCCAAGATTCTCGTCGAAACGTAGATTCATGGAAAACAAACAAGCCGAACGAGGAACTGGGAACCAAGTTAGGAGGAGATGGCAAGAAACTCAAGCAACCGATCACAAATCGCCATTGCGTGCCGTTTAATGCCTGACGACCTTCATCACACGCGCTAACGTTCGATCCCATTAAATTTAAATCATTGCTCACTCGTACGTTCTAAGGGCGCTATGCGATACGGTAGCAGGTTCAATCAGAAGTTGCACTTTCCAATCTGTTTGGCATTTATTTAATAGTTTGCACTTTGAGGTGGTAAATTATTCCGCAATTAAATTTTATCGTGAGAGTAATTATATCTCTCGTGGGACGCAGTGGATGCATTCAGACTTTGCGTCCTCACGTTGCCGACGTTCAGCGTCGGTTGACCCCGCCCAGTCTGTCAGCCTGAGAAGGTGTGGTACTAGTGGAAGTGACAGTCCAGAGAGGAAGGTGCCCGAAAGCCTTCTCGAAATCCTGCACAATTTCTGTGCTCAATATATTTCCTTAGGGAGTCACATGGTGCATTTATGAAAGTGGCGCGCAAACAATGTTGCGCTCCAGTGCCACAGAAATGGCTGCTTTCATACTTCGACGTGCGCGCCGGCATGCAGTTGGAGACGGCTGTGCATTTAGGAAGCGGCGTGCGAGCGGCTATGCGACGGCGGCCCTACGGTACGAACGTGCGACCGAGGACGCGCGCGGCAACATGCGCGGCCAAGGTCGTGACGATTTGTATGGCTCTGACGCCAATTTCCGGGGCACAAACTCTAAGTAGAGTAGTTTATTAGGGCCAGATGATCCTTCTAATCTATTGTACTTCGAATTTGGGCCCCAATGTTAGGCGCTAAAGTCGTTCAAATAGTTACGGACTTCGCCGCGCAATTTGCCGCGCGCATCCTCGGACGCACGTTCGTATACATACCCGCCCTATCCAAGCGTGTGACAGCCATCCTCGATTTTACGGTATCTACCGGTACCCACTGCTCTCACATAGTTGGATAGCGCCGCCGTCACATAGCCGCTCGTACACCGCACGCTAAACGTATCTGCGATTCCACCTGGGTGCCGGCACGCACGTCAACGTATGAAAGCAGCCAAACGAAAAAGGAGAAGAATAAAGTCTGTACTCCCTTCAAAGTATGGCGTGATCAAATCGAGAAGCAGGTCCTTGAATGAATCCTCTATTCGCATCCATTCGCGCTTTACTTGTAATCCTTTGTTGAGGCCGATTCGGGATAATTTCAGTTAGGGTTGTGGTATTGAAAAATACAGAGTAAACAACAATAGTAACCAACAATCGATAATAATGACTAGAAGCGACTAGAAATTGCTTCGAAAAAGCCTTTTTTTGTCGCAATCAAGCACCGTCGAGAACTGCATTTATAGTATATACGCTGATCGATCCATGAATCACGGCGGCGACGGGGTCGCTGTCTACCATCGATCGATATATGCAGGTCGATGACTCATGACTACTAGGCGTTAATTTTGGATCGTTTACAATACTCTCTTTCGTATTTTGCTTTGATGCAGCTTTCATAGTGATCGCTTTGTAGTGGTGTGTAATTTGCTTTTTCTACTTTTCAAATTTGATGTTAGTTCTTAATGTTATGATCAAATTTTATACTACGCGATCGATGAGCGCCTTTTTTCTCATTTAGTCGCTTAAAAAGGCGTTGGTTCAGCACGATTCATCAACCTCCTCAATATGTCCGCGCTCTCCGGGTGCGTTTATAGTGTCGGCGTCGGCGTCAGTTCTATAAATGCAAGCAGAGAGCGAGGATGAGCGGAAAATTAGCGCAGCCCAACAGCTTCTCATACTTCTTTCCTCAAAAACCTGGCATAATTTGACCGTGGATTTCAGCAAAATTGACGATACAATACGTTGTTGACGCAGAAGTCCAAAAAAGCGACATATGTTTCACGACCGCATACTCAACTGTCGCATATTGCGGACACGACCAAGATCTCAACAAATTTCAGGTATGGTGCACTTCTTTAACTGTCGGTGTACATAATTAGAGTCAACTTACTTTTTCCTGCAGCTTTTGGTGGGCTGATTTCTACACCGTTTTTTGCCGACCATCCAACTGGCATCACAAAACGCGTGTAATATGGCTCTTTGATATCGTAACCACTATTCCAGCCATCAAAATGGATTTGAATTTGACTCTAAAGTGACTCATTATGGCAGCAGTTTCCAGGGGCAAACATAAATGTAGGGGAAGCTACAAAAAGAGCTGTTTTTTGTTTATAGTTCGCGAGACACCTTCATATTACGTCATTGAGAAACGTATCGAATCTTTACAGTCGGCATTAGATTGCTTTGTGGGGAGGTTGCACGGTGAAATTTGAGCGTTCCCTAGGTTTTGTCGGAATTTTTATTGTCAGGAATGACGCTTGCCAGTTATCAACCCTCTTCATCTTAGCTGCGACATAGCTGAACGCTTGAAGCTCAACCGAAGATTATGTTGAATCTGTCCCATTCCCCGTAATCTCTAAGTTTTGGTCACTAAAAGAGCTATACCCTTTTTAGTCGCCACTCAACTGCTCGAATTGTTTTCAGCTTTTCATTGTGTTCGACACGAAGGGAGTGTACGTAAAATCCAATTCAAATCCCAAAAGTTTACCTTCGTGACTTCGACGATCGTCGCTGGACACGTTTTGCCGTTGAAACTCCTCTGGTCGATTGCTTCCACTTTATGTCCAACTTTGAAAAAATTCCGACAAGGTCTTAGAGTTTCCGAGATCTAGAAAGGTTGACATCTTCAGAACCTTTACTATGAAATCAAATCACTTTCATTGACAATGCTATGTTCTTGTTTGGGAAAGAAGCATATAGATTGAAAGAATTGTTAGATTCTCAGGAAAATTATCTTGGAAAAAAGAATGTGAAGAAAGGTTACCCCGAATAAAGAGTGGGTAAGGTCCAGCGAATTCCGTGCAGGGGATGTTCCTAGTTGATCCAGAATTCCACTGTCAGATCATTTTACTACGCATTTCAAAACTATAGATATTGCCAGGTTGATCGCTCCCAAAACCCATGTTTGAAATGGACGGCGATCAGCCAAAATGATGATAAGACTTGAAATAACGAGGGGTGAATACTCGAAAGCTAAGACTGTAAAGAACCCAGCTAAACAAAAGAAACAGTTTTCTTTCAAAATTTCACAGCATTTAGTGAATTTTGATTTCACAGACACGTGACCTATGCTTCTGTGCAGTGAATTTCTAGCACCCCTTGTTTCAGGTGTCATTTTGACTCTTGCTTTGAACTCACAACAATATGGAACTCTGAAAATCAAGAAAGCTGCTCGACGGTACGTGCTCGACGGTACGTGGTGATGGACTTTTTAGTAACTATTCAAATATTGTACGTGCTGCAGCAATGTATTGTAAGCCTTCCATAACTACCACTTTGCAACTACTGTAGTAATTTTAGTCCACTTAGGTAGCTGGATGACGAGGTGGTGAGGGATGCGTACAAATCTTTTTTCAAACTGCATAAGTCCCTGCACTGTATTAAAGGCTGTACAAGTCCTTTTGGGACAGGGCGAAGACTACGAGTAACACCACCATATAAAAAACGTGCATTTAACATCCTCCGATCGAATTTTCCAAAGTAATAGTTGTAATAAATACTCAAGGTCAAAGAACTTCGAAGACTTTATAAGAGCACTCACCGGTTTGAACCATTCAGGTGGGCAAAGCACCGATGCACCTGTTTCATCGTCCGGCTTTAAATGTTGTTCAAGAAACTTCGGAAAAGTGCCATGATGATGGATGAAGCCGATTGGTGGATTCAGCTTCATGTGATCCTCTACGGTAGGCCTTAAGAGCTTTATTCGATTATTGTGGCTTCAATGGTAACGTGAAACGTGACGCAAAAAAAATGTATCGAACTGCAGGGAAGGATGTTTTTTGAGGGGCATTTTTCAGAGCATTTCAAATCAATTGCTATCGTCAGGTATACGAAAACGTATACATCAGAATAAACTTTCTAATTCCTACAAAACGTTACCCGATAGGTTGGATAGAGTCGTCGTCGCAGAAAATCCATTTTTCGTGTGAATTGTCCAGACCTTCTAAGCGAACACACAACCACAGCTTGTATACGTTCACCACAGTGCCAAGACAGAACATTGCACTCGAGCCGGTGGGTCCTTAAACAGTAGCTTTCAATAAGAGGACGTTAATTCCGCTTGCCTTAGCCAACTGGCTTGCAAAGAGGATCAAATCTGTTATAACAAAAATTGTCGGGACTGAACTTTTGAATATCTGAATCTGGAATCTGAATTATCTAGTCTTCTATCTGGTATAATAAATTGATTCCAAATCAATAGATTGATCTTCTGGTTTGCTTGTACCTGATATTTCACTTCATTTCACTGAAATTCCCTATGATACTAGTATGAGAACGTTTTGATATCAAAAGTGTTGAAAAGTTTCGCCGCATAAGTATATTGTTGTGGTTCTAGAAGCTACATCCAACAGAACATTTTCTTAATAATGAGTCAGGTTGGTTAAATGCCATCATACCGTCATTCTACTGTAAATTTATTTTTTTGCAATATTTTATTCAGTCATTGTGATTCGAATACTCGATGATTGCTTGTGAAGTACGAAGTGCAGCTTGACAAAAAACTAATTTTTTTTNTTTTTTTTTGGAGTGACGTGACTTGGCCAACTGAAATTGATTGGTAAGCTGTTTATTTCCAAGAATTATTGAATAGATCACCCTTCTAAGCACATGACCAATTGCAGGTAAGTTACTACTCTTTAAGAGTCGAAAGTATGAAAAATCTTTATTTCATTTGCGTTCAATTTAGAATTGATGTAAGATTAAAGCGAATAACTCCCAGGAAACCCAACCCAAGTTTCAAAAGGGATTGCAATGACCGTTTAGAATTGCTGCCAATTTTCGATGTCATACCACGCTTTTCGGAACGAGCTAACCTACAGTACTTTACTACTGTTTTGCTTGCTGTTCACAGAAAAGGCTAATACGTTCATCTTAAACAGTCGTCTTAGATATAACAAAGGTCAGAGATAGGTTGAAGTAGCTGAGACGGCTAAATGTACACCCATATGTGCCTACTTGCAGAAAGTTTTGAGGAAGTTCTTTTTCTAAAACGAGCAAGAACAAAAGAAAACAGGCAAATCTTAGACATACCTCTCGGGTCAGCTATCATAAGCTTGGTGCCGATCTGAAACTTGTTCTCAGGTGGTGTATTCGGTTGAAAGAAGCACTCCGGTGGTGCGGCTTCAGCATTCTGTTCACGAAGGTAAGCATCCCAGTCAAATGTTGAGGTTACTGTAGTCTAAAATAGATAACAATTACCCGAAATGAAACAGTTTTGCTTGAAACTTTGGCAATTGCTGGGATCGTCGCTATATTTGTTAGTCCTACGAATAAAGGCAATCTGCTCAACGCGTGTAATTACCACTTGTTTACCATGAGTGCCATAGTGAGCTACTTCCGCCATCTTATTAGTCAGTGGATGTTTTCGGCTTGAGGCAGTTGCTCAATCCAGAGGATTAGCTTCATAGGCTAGTCTTATGAAAGTGATAGTTCCGACATAAGAAGCAGAGTAGATGTCTTTTCGTCTTTTACGGTAGCAACCTCCCAGTGATCGTGTTTTGCTTTGGGATTTCCATAGGTTTTCTTCTATAAATTCCACCACAATCGAGGCAGAAGGGTTTTGGATTCCCTTCAAGAGGACTATCCCCCTTTGTGGACTATGACCAATTACAAAAAGTTCACAGTCAACTCAAGTTATTTACCTCTAATCATATTCACCACTTACCGATGCAGAAGGATTCGTCGATGAGGCCTCAGCGTATTTTGGCGACGAAGGATGTGGATCGGTGTTCTGATTGAATCTGGCCGCAGCTTCCTCTGTCTCCCCATTGTCATCTGCGTGGCCTTCGGAATCCGGCACTTCGCTCATCTGATAAAAGCAGTCTTTAGATGTATTTTAAAGCTGCTCGATATCGATCACATCCATTCTCATGTCTGGATTCCGAGGAATTTGGACAAGCATGACGACGTGAGAAACAGAAACCTCCCTGCGTCTCTCACATTTCTAATGGAGGAACCGGGTCATGTCCCATAGTCATTGTATCACATCGTTCCCAGGCTAGTTAGTCATCATTATATTCAGAACCTCAGAGCATCGGAGAATCATATTAGAGACACAGACCCCTCTCATGTTTTTCATTACTTAACCCAAAACTCAGTTCACAGAGGACAGATAAAGGCTTGATTCCCGATCACTGTCTGCCCTCGTGATAAAGTGATCTAAGGTGGTGAGTGAATAATACTATCAGCTACTCACATCCAACTCCTCCGAGTGTTCACTGTCCTCAGGCTCCATCGTCGGATCCATCGGCACATCGTGACCGAATTCCTCGACTTCAGGTACGACGTCTGTCATTAAACAGCGTGTTTACCTGGAACAAACCTCAATTGGGTTCGAATCGTTGCTTATCACTTCATCGGTCAACGACGCTCTTTTACAGTACATTGCCGCTCGGCGATATCAAAATGATAACTGTGATGCTAGAATACTTCTTGGCTGCCCCTACACCATTGCATCGGCGCCGAGCATCACGATCCCGCTATGACTCCCGGGATGGCATTCTGTTCATGTCTACATGGGAGAAAAGAAGCAATGACATGGTCTTCTACTGGAACCCCACCTAAGAAGTAGCTATCTGTCTCCCAATCAAATGTGTCGTTCTCGAATGGAAGCTACTGTAAACGACTAAGTAACACTTTTGGATGGCCCAACTAAAAAAGTCCATTAAAGTATACTGTAGAAGTGGTGATACGGTACGAGGTCACGACCTACAGCTATACGGTAAAGCGAAAGAAATATCGACGCGAAGGCGACGTCATCACACTAATGGCGAGCGCGCGCGCTTAACGACCGTCGGGGTGGTCACACCAGTTTTTTGGCGTTCACTGGGTGAGAGGTGTCAGTGTCAACATCGTTGTGGTGAACGACTTCATTGAAAGTATGGTGACGTCACGGCTGAATTTGAAGCGTCGGGCGAAGACGTTGGCGGGGTTGAAGACGTCGTCACGAAATGACGGCGGTGAGACGACGATCAGTGCAGATAGCGGCCGGCCGACGGCGGAGACAGACGTACACACAGACGCACACACCACACACGCACCGGCACACACACAAACACACACTCGCTCGGCCACGAACAGCCAGCCACGCTATGCGATCGATCGCCACCCTGTTGTGGGTGAACACCCGTCGGCCACCGACGTCGACGACGTCAACTTAGCTCCATCAACCTAGGTTAAATAGATGGCCACCCAGCTGAAGAGGATGTCAACGGGTAGGCGAGTAGCGGAGCCGATGAAGGGAAATCGCGTGCAGATGCTTATGAAGTCGTCGTGGTGACACCTTTCGTACTTCTGATTAATTCTTCGCATCGATCGATGCTTGGGCAAGTCCTATGATGAGGAATAGGACGTCCGATGTACTTAACTTAAAGGGGCTTGGAGCGATCATAGCGCTCCAGTTCGAATATCGTAGAGTAGGCGATTCACAGTGGGAGAAAACACTTCCTGAATTCTGATTCCGCTATCATTCGCGTGACTGTGTTACGGCCACCTAGGGTAATTATCATTTCGATGGCCCGTCACTGATGTCATGAATCATATGCATTTGGGGGCTGACAGCTCAGCCTGTGTGCTGGAGAAATGCATTATGTGCTCAAATGGGTGATTTGGTTAACTTCCTTCCAGTTCAGTATACATTTATGTGAATTCCCAGGCTTAGTGCCAGTCCAAGGTGTATAATGACAAGAATAGAGAGAGCTTGGGAAAGAGCCGTCTGGAAAACATGGCAACCGCTGGATTTTCCTGAATATGAGCTTCAGCGAGCTGTACAATGAGATAATTGTATCCGACAACCGATAAACAACGAACGACGTGCCAAAGCCAATCAAACGGTGAGAAAGGCCTTATGAAGTGAGCTGTGATTCAGAATTCCAGAAGCAATTGAAAGGTTATCAGGTCTGTACAATATGTTAGCGGACGTTGCTCATTGTCGACCACTTGCAGAATGCGCCACGAACTCTTCCTCTTCCCACGTACGTAGACGAGAAGCTCTGTGTCATCAGTCTAGCACTGCTTCTTGTACTGCTTTAATTTCAGCTAGAAATTTTTGAAAGTTGCCAGGATCGGACAACTGAAAAAAAACATCCCCCTATTAAGTTTTTCTATTCATTTCGTGATTAGAAAACGTCCATTAGCCAAGTAACCACTGAAAATGGAGCACATTTGCTGTAAAGAAATGTTCTGCACGACAATCCGCCCCATCGACAACTCCGATAATTCCTGCTCCGTTGCCATCCTTTTGATGGCTCACCCAGGACCACTCGACTCGCGAACAGACTTTTTAATAGCCCTGTCTTCGGAAACACTGACCTTTCTACCTATTTCATCTTCGTCTTAGATTGATTCTGCTCATCTATATCGTTTGATAGCATTCTGTAGGTCATTAATGGGAAATGAGGAATTCTTAGATGTCCTTCCGCCTCTTGCATGCGAATGATTGCAGGTGGCATTGAATGAGCCTTAATCATCTCTGCGTTATAAGGAGCCTTACTTCAGTAAGTGTNGGAAAACCTGCTTGTACAACTAATTAATAATGAATTAAATGGAAAAAATGCCAAAATCCCTACAGTAACCGCACGAAATAAAATTCATGGGAAATCAGATGACGAAGGTATGTTTGGACGAGATTTTGACGTTGCAAGGCGATCTCTGTTATCTGTTATGGTGTATCAGCTGATTAGATTCACGGCAAACGTGCTCCATTTCGAGTGATATCAGCCTCCACAGTATTCTTTGAATACCCCCTTTATTCAGAGTAATCCGCGGCAGTAGACACACGACAGGTTTTTGAGCCTTCAATGCGTCCTATCTGGGCCGTTTTTCGACCAAACAATCTCCATACGGTCTCTTCACAACCCAAAGTCTCTCACCCAAACAAGGGATCTTCGAACCCATTCTGATCGTCAAACCCGCACACTACCGGGAAACTGCAGCGAAAAAAGGATTGATTTCGAAAATACTGCTTACAGTAAGTTTGAGCTACTGGTTCAAGGGAAATAGTGGAAGTGATAGTACAGTACAAGACGTCCCAAAATTGTGGGCGCCAAAATCCAGGAGTTTTTCAGGCGGATAGCTGTACAAGCAGGTTTTCGTGCAATCTGCATAGTTACCGAAGTAAGGCTCCTTGTATCGCAGAGATGGTTAAGGCTCATTCATTGCCATCTGCAATCATTCACATGCAAGAAGCTGAGGGACATTTAAGAATTCATCATGCCCCATTAATGACCTACAGAATGCTATGATGTAGATAAACAGAATCAATCAGAGACGAAGGTGGAAGGGGTATATACATAGGTCAGTGTTTCCGAAGACAGGGCTATTAAAATAGTCCGTTTGCGAGTCGGTCGTGATTCCGGGTGACCCATTAAAAGGACGGCAAGGGAGCAGGAACTATTGGAGTTTTCGAGGGGTGGATTGCCACGCAGAAACTTCGCTACCATTTTTATCGTATGCAAAAACGCCACTTCATTCCCGAGCTCAATGGACATTGTAGGGTCACAAAATGCAGAAGGTTGCTCAACTCCATTGAGTGGAAACATGCACCTCTCCTCCGACGAGGAAATTTTCTCCACAAATATAACGATGGAATTCTGTTACAAGCAGTTGTTATAAGAGCAACAAAACGATGTTCATTGAAGGAGGCACGGGTAAGGGTTTCGTCGGTGCCGTCGTGTAATTTGACACAGACACCCCACCCCCCTACTAAAGAGCGTACTGATGGACGTACTGAAGCACTGATTCGACTTCTCTTTCTGAAATAGCTCTGGTCCTTCCAGTAGGACAGTACTACATACAGCCCACAGAGCGAAGCCCGCCCAAGAGTGGTGCCGACGCCAGCTGCCCGACTCCATTAGCATAGATAAATGGCCATCCTGCTCTCCAGATCTTAACTCACATGACCCCTCCGTATGATCCTTAATTAGAAGAGAATCTGCTCGGTATTCATTTCCGGTTTTTGGTCATAGAAAGCAAAACACAAGAATGGTGAGAAGAAATAGAAGAGGGATACGTCTGTGCAACATGCGAGGGGTCTGAGAACAGATTTTAACATCAATTCGGGAGAATAGGGGGATCTTGCATAAATCCTCAGACGGTCTTTAGGGAAACTTCGCAACAAAAAACTGTTGTTTGATGCGTGAAAATAAGAAACAAACAAAAAACAATGCTAGACTTCGAGAAGAAAGCAGAAAGCAAAGAAAAGAGGGAGCGATTTTCCGCACAGTCGTGGGATCGGTGAGGGTGGTCAGCCTGTTGTCTGATATGTAGTAGTGATTACCACTAGCTAAGAGCAAGCAGGGCTCTGAGATTTCTTTTTTTGTATGAATCTGTGACCCTCCAGGATGGTGCAAGGGACGCTGTCGGTTCGGATCTGACGGAGTTCTGATGTCACGACGTCGTTGAAGAGAATCCTAAGCACAGAATTTTTGTTTTTGGCTGAAGTCTTCGAATCCCGGGGAAGGAGGAGCACAGCCAGCGTAACCTGTATGTATGTATATACGGCCATGGATTCTGCAAGCGACAACGTTCCTGCCATTGTGATCGTGGATATCCCAGGGTAGCTATCCTAGAGCTAGAGTAAAACACTTCAGAAGAATTGTTCCATCGAATTATTGGAATGAGGAGAGGAGTTATGAACCCGAAATGCTACCAGCCAGTGCTACAGTAATTGGGTAAATCCGCCGTGAGCTTTTTCACGCACTGAACAACAGTCCTTCGTTACGAATTTTCCCTAAAGACCTTCTGAGGACTTATGCAGCCTGAACCACGAGATGTATCGACCCCAAAGCTCGCGATAATCTCGTAACGCTTTTCCTTCTTCAGTCAATGCGAACCAGGAGTGATCCGATAAGCGCTGTCCCAAGCTCATTAAAGGTAATCGACCACCTTAATTGAAAGCTTTCAAAACGCCAACAATTTGAAGGAAAAACAAGGCTGGACGTCCTGGCGACACTGCTTAAGAAACTCATGGAAAACTAGGATGTTACAGTTCATAGCTCTGACTTGACCTGGAGGGACTTTTTTCGCTTTCTAGTTAAAATCTAATCCAATTAATAATAAGCTAAGCAGCTAAATCCTCAGGGAACAAATCTAACGCTAATATGCATCCTCCGGAAATCGAAATGCAGTTTTATACAGACGAAATCTAAACCAGAAGCCAGTAGAGTTTATTCGAAGAAAGGCAAGTACAATTGTATAACTACGTGTCGGCAATAGGTGATATGTAGGCTGTGGTAAACTGATACTTTGGCGAATGAGCAAAAAAACTATTGGGAGGGAGCCAAGGTGTTCCAGAGTTTATGGGCGGCTCAAACAAGTGAATGCAATAGTATGAAAAAAGCAAAGCTCACGGTTGCGGTCTCTACCCATAATCTCTGGATCACCTCGGCTCCCTCCCAATAGTTTTTTCTGTTCATTCGCCTAAGTATCAGTTTACCCCAACCTACATATCCACTATTGCTGACACGTAGTTATACAGTTGTTCTTGCCTTTTTTTGAATAAACTCCGCTGGAGATAAGTGGTAAAATAATTAAAGTTTTCTTATACACTGCGATTTCCAGCAAAAACTGAATAGAAGAACCTTACCGTAAGCCTTTGCGGGAAGAGACTAGAGGAATGTGAAGCTATAGCGACCTCATAAGCTCAGCTCATGCTCCATAAAATGAACCTGGAAGAAGCAAGGTTCCGATTTAACGCCAATGGATTCAGAATGTCCGGTAGTAAACGCTCTACTATGGTCGCGAGTTTGAATAGTGGATCAATCATCTTCAACAGAATTCCGAAGGCATCTGGTGAGATCAGCAAGAAGCGTATTAAAGAATCTCTTGTGAATATACTCGAAAAAGTTGGAGACTGCGGCGGGATTCGAACTCGTGTTACCAGATTCAAATCCAACGTGTTTACCGCCATACTAAGACACCAGCACCAACTCTTACACAAACCAGCTTACTGTCAAGGATCCTAGAGCCTTCGTGTGCATCTAATACCAAACTTTCACCGGAGTTCTCTCAATTTCGGCAAGATTCGAGGGGACCGTTGCTATGAGAAAAAAGAGGAGTCGGTAATACATAATTTTAGGAAATGAATAGAAAAGGTAGCAACCCTCAAAAGCGTTGCGCAATCAATGAGGACGGGCGACATTAGCATGGGGTGACCTCCAGTAATCAATCTGACCGGTCATTATTTCGTACATTTGCAATAGTGATAAACATACTTGCACTTAAAAATGGATAGGTGGCAAGAAGCGGTTACAAGCATAGCCAAAGAACTCGACTACCAACTGGTAACTGTACAAAAATCTTTATACAACTAGAGCTAGACAGAGAGAAGTTCGGTCCACGGCGAACTTATTGAAAACGGAATTACGGTTTCGGGGCTATATCCGGGGCAAGAGGGATACTAATCATTTCGGAATTACATTTATTAAAAGAAACTATGTTTTACATCACGAACACATTATATGCACTAGTTCTTTCATCATTATGATTCTGTCACTTAAATTTAGACTGCGGTTCACATCAAGGGTGTTTGTACGATTCGTATCCCATATTGCACATGATTTCTGATTGGTAGTAGAATACAAGGCAAATTAGCTTCGAATTCGAAAAAGTCAGTTTTTAAGTTTCTGAATGGCCCGGGCCATACGTATAAGCCTACGTCTGTGATCATTAGCTCGCACCTGGCTTCCTTTCTCTATCGAAAAAAAAGCTGGCTGGAAGCTCTGTTCGACCGTTATTAACCTCTCTGACCTACTTAGAGATTTCAGCATCCAGTTCCTCATGGATTATACAATGTTTTGTCTTTTTTTTTTATTTTGAGAAGTGAAATCGCCGATAATCAATCAAATCTTTACAACAAACCAATAACGCTGTTGTTAAGCAGAGGAGCTCTTTTTAGGCAGATTTCATTTAACATATCTTTGTGAGATAAAACGAAAACACGCACAATTTTTAACTATAAAAAGGAATGAGTACAGTAGGAACCGATACTTCACAGCTTATGACATCTGCACCTGGAACCTTTGAAAAGTATTTCCGTAACTGAGTACACTCCGCTTACAGCTCAACATGGAATTAAATGACAAAAAAAANAAAAAAAACAACAGTTAATTGATGTTAAACAGTAAAATAATCCTGAGAGACATGCAAAAAAAGAGCATGCAGAAAGTTTATGCAAAAAAAAGAGCATGCAGAAAATACGACTCAGAGATCCAATAAATTTACAGTGACTTTAGCAAGGCTAATTTCCAGCCTACAATACCGGTGAAATATAAATTCCAATAAATTATTTGTTAGCTTTAAAATCATATGTTGAACCAATCTTCGAGGATACCTCGATTGCCACGTTGTCTTTGAACCGGTCGATGAGCACGGATTTGGCTTACACGAACTAACAGTGGGGTGCGAACTGTTCTGTCCCTTAAAGATCTGTTACGCGTTTGTGGCACAGAACCTCGTCGACGTCCTCGTTGATTTCCATTTTGAAACTCGGTACATTCAGTATCCATTGCGTCGAGAGATTCCAGCTCACTTGGAGATCGACGTTTAGCTAAAGTATTAACTCACATATCTCTCGGCATGAAAAAGTACCGACAGTACCAACAGTGGCTGAGACCTATTCACTCAATCAACTACTAGTACAAAGTCTCTGAAGATGAAGTGGGACAGCCGACGTGAATATCAGTCTCTGCGACAGTACACTTGCCACACCCATAGGTTTTCCCCTTTCATTTTCAAAAACATCTTGCTATTTTTTTTCTCTTTGCGAACTCCGAATTTCCGCTTGCAGCACCATTACATAACTTTTCCACCTCATTCCTTGGAATCTCCTCTCCAAATCCCATACCTCTCTCATTCGATTTCCCTAAGCTTTTTTTTTNTTTTTTTTTACTTAAGTTTCTCTCTTTTATTTTTTTCCTATCCTTATAAAGTCGGAAGTTATCTACTGGTGATGTATAATTCCCCATAAGCAGATCTTTTCCCTCCTTCAAAAAAGCTGTCATTGTGAGCTACGTGCAGCAACTGCATTGCTAAATATGACTAGGACTTTACTAAGGGGAAGGACTGCATTACGCCTAGTCCCTCTCCTGCTAAACATGTTTTTAAAGATCCTAATGCGGCATTCGGCCTTTTATTCAAGAGATAGCTTTCCAAGACCTTGACCCGAATGAAAAGAAGAGGGAAAGACGTATTCAGCAGAAAAAGTTTACATAACTTAAAGGGACTACTTGGAAACCCCAATTCGGGCAACAAAAGATAGATTCATATATCAAAGATTTATCTACAATCGTTTCTATCATTTTGCTTACTGATAAGTTAGCAACTACGATGAAAAAAGTGTCTTTTGCGCAAAAGGGAAGATGTTATGTTTGACGCCATGCCATGGTGAGACAACTAACTGAGGCAATGCAAGGAACAGCACGCAGCCAGACAACTGTCTAAGGGCTGATCTTAACCTTACACGTCCATACAGCGGTAAAACATTTCAGAAAGTTCCAAAAGAATCGAGAAAGAAAGAAAAGAACGACTGAAATGATCAAAAGGTTTAAGAATAAAAGCAAAATAACTCAACATGAACCAGCAGAAATTGGACTTACACGGATTCGCTAATAGAAAAGACTGAACAACTTCGTTGAATTGCGCATCTTTTTGCATTGAATGAATGGGGCCACGACACTAAATCAATAACCGAATTCAATCAAAACCACATCGCTTACTACAAATAACGAAATCCATGCCAACCTGAGGGCAGACAGCTGTCTGATTCGTCCTTTTCCATGATAAAAGGCAAGAATGGCAAAATTTGTGATTGCATGGGCTGACGCTTAAATCCCATTCGTAAGAAAACTATCTGGACTGGGACTACAATTGTCAAAGGAACTCACTTGGCTGGATTATGGAATATTTCCATGCAAATTGAACATCTCATTAGTATTTCAAAACTAGCTGGAACTTGAAGAAAAGGACCACATTCTTCCTGAAACCTCTCAACTCTCTCATTTTGGATATTATTCCTGTAAAACAACTGAGTTACCGTTGTATCCATTCCATGTTCCACGGCTACCTCGACATCCGCCTGAATAGGTGATAGTAAAATGTATACAAGGTAATTCAAAAGTTCACATAATAGGATTATATCATGGAGTAAGTCCTCAACGTCCCGGAATCTGGGCCTTTACATGAATGTCACAAACCCATCGAAGTATTTTTACGATGACGTGGGTGGGGTACGTGGCAACCTCTTACGAAGAATATGGGTGTATCAATGTTTTCCACTTAAAAAAAACCAAAAGGATTGGTAAAAACCCTCATTGACAACTAAATACATTTTTACTTGCTGCTGTCTCATCACATCCATGTGTGCCACGTATTTTCTTGAGGTGGCATGCGGTAATTTCCTGCTTGTTGGGTTTTGAAGAGATTTATAGCCTCTTTCTTCCCAAATGGGAGAGATACACACAATAGAGGCTCTCAACTTAACTCGCACAAACAACTTGAAATTGATAAAAACAGCAAAATAAAAAACTGTGTTTAAGAAGGGTGCTGCTATTTCCATAAACGCAATCGCAATAATGATATTTTAGTAGAAAATACGGAGGTTTGCACCCCAGAATTCCTTGATGGAACTCCGGTTGGTGACAAATCTAACCACCTTGCTTATAATGAACAGGCGAAAAAAAATTTGATAACTAGTGGAAATATCTAGAACCAAAAGAAAAGGAAACGAAAAATACCGGTTCATTTGATGACCGCTGCATTGACATCGTGGTTGCGATTGTCTGCAACAATAAAAAGTTGCACTTTTCAACAGTGATTAGGGAAGGATTGAACTTTTTCGCTCAGTCGAAATGTATAGAGATAAGTTTGAAGGGAACACTTTGGTTTATTTGCTCATTTCAGATTTTCTCAAACATTCTGAGGGTAGCAATGGTCGATCACTGGGAAGTGGAAGCGTAGGATTGCCGATTTCACGAAGTGGTTAACACCATTAGATACGTATCGATCTCCAGAACCGTGGGAACGTGTGAATGCGGAATCACAAAATCGATATGTATCTAACCTGTAAGCAAGACTAACCAACTACGAATGTTATCAATCTTTGGCAAGTAGGGAATCTTCAAGGGTTCTGGCATAAGTAGTCATGAACGATCACGTGCCGATTGCGGCGATCGGTCCATTCGCTCAGGAAGGAGCATTCAAAATATTGAACAGTACCGTATATTTTCTACATAAAAAGGATGTTTGAGTCAGATATTTCCCTATTGGAACTAATATTTCCCTATTGGAACTCTAAACTTTAGGTCATGAATGTATAGAGGGGTATCAACCGTATTAAGCCAAGAAAAACGCATACCGGGTTATTGGTTACGGTAGTTTGCGTTCGTGGAGATATCGGTTCGTCAATAATCTTCAACGAAGGAATCATCAGAGGGAAAAACAATACCTGAATTTGCACTGATACTTACCTCAACGTATGCCCCAAGAGGACACTTTCTTCGAGACGATCGAACAGACGGATTTCCTCTACCTCTCGGCGCTTCACTGCTAGGCCGTGATACAATTGGAGAAGCGTCAAGAACAATAGGATTAGAACTTGTGCCAAGATCTTCGATTCTTATATGAACTGACGGTGTACGTATGTCTATTCCGTCTCTTGAATGACCGTTCTCACTGTCGTCACTCATTGACGTTCCTTTCCTGCAGAAAAAATATAGTAAAGAAAAAAAAACATCAAAAGTGTGAGCATTCAGTAAAATGTACTACAGTGTAAGCGAGAAAAAGTGTAAGTCCGCTCCTCAGGACTTTGCAGAATGCCTCCAGAAAAAATGACTCCTGAGCGATCAAGCAGATTCGACTGCGGTTGACTAAATGGTACTCTTTCGGGAAACAAACTCGGAACTATAGGATGTGCGGATAGAGTCTGCCAGAAACTTCACGAAATTGCTTACGTCGGGAATTTCCCAAGAAGACCGTAAGCCCAGATTTCCACGGACAGGGGTATGGGTGCACTCACTCAGAACTGGATGGACGCGGCGAAGTTCGTGGTGACTAAAACAGCTTTGGCCCCTATCATTGGGGCATGGGTTCCAAGCAGATTGGATAAGTAGATCCAGCTGATGCTACTTATCTATCCCACGTCAAATTCGTGTCCCAATGATAAGCGCCGAAATCGTTTTAATCATCGCGGTTTCGCTCCATTTCGAATTTCGCTGCGCGGTTTGCCGAGTCCATCCAGTTCTGGGGCCGTAAGGTATGCTCCCCCGAACAGCGGAGGGTCCCCTTCCTGGTAAGGTATGCTCTAGGGGAAGCAGAGAGATAGATGCTCTAGAGGAGAGCAGAGAGAAGAAAGACCTGAATCGGGGCGTCCCAGTCGCGAACAGGAGGGCATACCTTACGGCCCCTGGGTGAATATTGCGTCCCCCCACGGACAGCGGCACTGATTTCGCGGTAGCTACCGTATCCTCCCCCTGGAATTTAAACATCTCCCTTGCGCGATTGGGTTCGGCTAGCGAGACGATGAGAAGTACCCGCACCCTAGAGTGGGATCATTCGTTCACGCGTAATATATCAGAAGATTCCATGTTATCGCAAACGGTCGACTAGATCGTGATCCAACGCAAAAATTTTTGTTCCAAGCTGCGAGGTGTGCACAGGAACCGCATGGAGGGCAACTCAAAGACTGATAACTAACACAAGTCTCAGGGGTTTCCGCGGTGATGTGGCCGAATTCGAACTCGAGAAGAAGTCCAACTGAATACGCGCCATTATACATATCTCTCTTATTTATAAAGCAGTAACATGGTGTGTCGGTTTGTGTGTTTGTCGGTTTGTCGGTTTGTCGGCCTGTCCGTCCGCAAACTTTGTGATTACGATAAGGGCAGTGATATGGAAAATCCGGGGGACATACACAATGTGCGTCCGAGGAGCCTGCGGCAACTTGCGCGGCGATGTTCGTGACGATTTGTACGACTCTGACGCCAATTTTCGGGACACAAACTCGAAGTAGAGTAGTTTAGTAGGGTCAGGTGGTCCTTCTAATGTACTTTACTTCAAATTTGGGCCCCAATGATAGGGGCTAAAGTCGCTCAAATCGCCAATGATAGGGGCTAAAGTCGTTCAAATCTTTACGAACTTCGCCGCGCAGTATGCCGCGCGCATCCTCGAACGCACCTAAATCCACATACCCGGAAAATCCAGCTCTATCCTACATTTCCTTCTTATACATGAAACAGTAAATTGGTGGGTAGGTTAATGAAGTAGAGTAAGTGCTGCGGAGGGAAGTGAGAAATGTGGAGTGGATACTGTGAATCAAAGCTTTGATTTCGACCTGTACTGGCATCGTGCTGTGTGTGTCTATACAACAAGATGAGCCAAATGAATATTCCGTTCCCCATCCCAGCTTTTTGCACGAGGTAATCACACCACCCTGACGTTCCTCCCTCCTCGGGCATATAAAAACATATTCTTCCGCCTAGACCTACTCGAATCACAGGTAAGGTCAGCTACACCTTTACTCTGCACACAAGCCCTCAGTGATGAATAAAAGCGATGTCATTTTCTCCTACCAACTACATTTTCTATCAACTTTGTAAAAGTAAGGAACGAGGTCCGGCGTAACCGGGCGACTCGACTGGTAATCAAATAAGCAAGAAATAGTATGAAAGCCCAGAATGTCATACGTGCACGCTTAGGTACTATCTCTACATAGAAACCTCGCGGAAACTTACAAAAAACTTTGGCAGAAAGCTGGATTATTGCGAACTTTTCGGCAGATACTTTCCGCATAACCTATTACTATTATCCGTAAAACGCAACCTCATTATTGCCCAACAGCATTACGAGGTAGAAGTAGGGTTACGGTAGAGTTGGAACCATAGGAACCACCCCAGTCATTTGCTTTTGATCATAATTAGATTCTAAAGATTCTAAAAAGAAAACGGGTAAACGAACGACGAACACAATCACCCACAAGCCATCACTGAATTGAAAATTGAATTGGGTGAATGGGTGAAAACGTAGTTGTGGAAGGGGCAATTCCCATATCAGTGTTAGTATAACAGAGAGTCACACATTGTCTTTTGCTACTCCGTGTTATACCAGTACTGTGCCAGAAACAAAACGAAGGATGGGCAGCGGCTATCCGGGCGCTCTTATGCGGTTTTAGCCAGGGAGTGGGAGCATCGGGGTAGGTGAGACGATTACCTCGTGCGAGAAGCGGGCATCTTCACTACCCCGGTGCTCCTTCTCTCCTAAGATTTATGGGGAGAATTGCATGTCCCTGTTTTAACAAGGAATAACCCGTAACTCCATGTAAAATCACTGTTATACCAACAATGATGCTCCCACTCCCTCATTCCCTCACCTACATTTTCACCTGGGACTAAGTCAGAGGAAGCCAGAAAAAAATGAGCATCAGTTCCCAGCGTTGAGAAATAGTCCCTCAGACGCTAACGAAAACGCAGAAATAGGTCTGATGAAATCCTTTCAACAATTCCGAGTGGATCAGCTTTTCCACATGAATATTTAATTACCATATAAGTCCCAAGTAGAAGAAACAGCTATTGGTTCATTAGCAATCATTCAAGCGCTTCACTCACAAGTTTCTAGCGTAAGTAAAACGAAGTAAATGAAATCGAAAGCGAAATTACGGCAAAACTAACCGTCCATAAGGAATGAGTCATAGAAAATAGATATCGGATGAAAACCGTTCACATCCATAACACCGTGACAAGATAATAGAATGATTTATTTGGGAATCATGGCTCAGTAAAATACAAATCTTAAAACTCTTCAAGGCACTTCAAAACAGTTTAAACGGAATGAATATAGAAATCACATAGTAATCGTTATTGATGTGAAGCCATCGATGCGGTGCTAATTACCTGAAAAACTCTTCTTCAGCTTTAAAAGAAGTAACAGTCGAACTCTCTATCATTACCGTTACAAAAAAAAAACAATACAATACAAAACAAATAAAAAAATAATTCAATACATAATACAGCACAATAATATACAATGATTCAAAAACAAGAGTCCATAAATTAGGGAAATGCTTAGTAACGTAGACTGAGCAATCACAAACGGTGAAAAATAAGGCCGATGTTCAAAAAAAAAGTAAAATAGTAAAGTAAAAAACAAAAAATAAAATTTAATAAACAGAAACTTAGTAAAGCAAAAGCTTTAGAGAATATGTTACCTCTGCAGGGTTTCTCTACACTTACCACAAAGTGCTGACCTGGTCACAAAAGTTCCACCTTGAATGGGCAAAGTCTTCAGCCTGGGTGTGCTTTTAGCACTGGGCACTTCATTTTACGTTTTAACGATTATTAATTGAAGATTATGGTAAAAAGCAAAACCTATTGAAAGCCGAATGAATAGTGAAAGAGAGATTTTCCCATGAAGTTGCAACATATACCCATATTGCGAACGGATCCAAAAAACAGCCGTCATAGAATAGAAAACAAGTCGATTATTTACGTATTATTTACTATTTTCCTACTTCGTCACTAATCAGTTATTTGCATTTCGTTATCTTTCCAAAATCATATGCAAAAACAGATACTGCCCTGAATTTCATTATTGGGCATACTCCTCACTCGTTGAGTGATTGGGTAGCCGAAAATTTTGGCGTGTTTCCATCCTACCAGACACGTACCTGAAGCCTCAGCACTGGTGGCCAATCTATTCTTCCTCTTCGACTATTCATCAGTCCACTCACCCTTTGCTACCACTATTTCAATTATTTTCTTTTATAATCCAAACCCGTTGAATTGATCATTTGGCGGAATGGCAAGCGGCGCCACTAGCCCACATATGATCAGAGAATGTCGCCTAAGCCAATCAAACGTTTCATTCCTTCGGAATTCGCTAACCAGTATCAAATAACCAGTATTACCGAGTAGTTTGAAAACATCGTATTGACTGATTGTCGCGAATCATTGCGTAGGCCAAATACTCCTTCGTAACCACATGATCTTGAGTCGAGAAGTCGAGTGCGTAGTGGTCCGGTGAGAATTAAGAAGTAAAAAGCATAGCTATATCTCTTTGCCGTGGCCCATTTCCTCCCATTTGGAATCCAACTTTTTCAGCGATGAAAAAGTTCTAGAAAAGGGTAAACAACTAGCGGGTGAGAAGCGCCCTGCGACTATCAAAGCCCAGGACCGAATAAGACGAGTGTAATGCGATACTTCATAGTTTCATGAGTGAATGTGACAAAAATAAGAGAGCAGGTGCGATGTATTACCAAGCGATTTCCCAAGTATCCCTTATCAACCGAATTTTCTGCATAAACCGTCCAAGTTGGCCATGGGCTACTTTCAGAGTTCGACGACCCTCCGTCCGTCCGTCCGTCCGTTCAGCGAGTGCTGCGACGGCGGTCGCTAGAGTAGTGTTGACACCCTGGCAAGTGATTCAGTGTGTCGACAACGGTCAGGCGCCGCCGTCGCAGCACGCGCTGAACGGACGGACGGACGGACGGATGATTCGTTGAGGTCTGAAAGCAGCCATGTCTTCCAGTCACAAAGAATTGACAAGTGTTACCAAAACCGTTTGGAAGGAAAAAAAAAGCACAGAGAGCAAAGCAGGAACATCTAGTGCACCTTGACCATGCGATTATTCCACGGACAAATAAGCACTCAAACACTATCATGAAGCTCAATAGGAATCGAATCCACGGCGCATTTAATAAGAATCACTCAAGCTTGTTGTTGTTGATTTCCCGTCTCGAATTGAATATTTTCGTTGAATTCCTCCAAATAAAACATGTTTGAAATTTGTGCAGCGATAACCTGACTGCCGACATGTTTCGGCTACTTTGGCTTATCGTAATCTTGTCATCCTGTCTTCAATTTGCGCTTGGCCAAGACCCAGAAATCAAAATGACAGTGGTAAGTAAAGTTTTGCACCCCATCCTACCGTAACACACTTAAAAATTGATATCACTGATATTTACAGCCCGAGATCATTCAATACTGGGGTTACCCGGTGGAGGTACACTATGCAGTCACCCAAGACGGATATATACTCGAATTGCATCGAATCCCGAATGGGAAAGATAGTAAGTTTTGAAAGTCTTCAGAGAATGCTCGGAAATGATTTTGAAAGGGTTTCAGAGCCCACAAACAACACCAAACGCCCTGTTGTCTTCCTACAGCACGGATTGGAGAGCAGCAGTTCTGTCTGGGTAACGAATCTTCCCCAACAGAGTGCAGGTAAAAAGTTGTAAAAGATATAGAGGTCGCGAGACCTTACCATTGAAAGCGAGGGGTGAGCCCATAGAAACATTCCTCTTGGGTTGTGGGTTACATTGCTTGGGAATAAGTCTTATTAATCGATAAAAGTTCGAAGTATCGCGGATTCGCAAATGTCAACTGAATTCTTTGCTTTTTTTGGCTCCTGTCATTATGTCGAGTGGTGGTATACCCTTCCTTCCATCGCAAATGTAAGCGTTCAGGAGGAAAAAAAANAAAAAAAAGGAAAATCTGAAAGAGTTGGGCTGAGAGAGGACAAACCCTATCAACCTCTATCGCAAAAGCTTCCATATGCAGTCAAGTCGGAAGTATAAATTAATGTATGGTGCCAACTTTGCCAAGAGTGCGCCATACATGTGACTTTCAACCAAAATTATGATTGTTCCTCATAACATGGACGAAAAAGCGCTGACTTGATGGACTAGGAAAAGTGGGAAAGCTGGCAGATTTGGGTCGAAGTTGGCCAAAAACATATTGTAATGTCTTTACATTTGGTACATCCCAGTTATTTATAGTCACCGAGGTATCCCTACTACTGCCTTTAGTCCATCTATACTTCAACGAATAAACAAACGTAGATGAGAATTGGAAGAGTGGTTCGGAAGACCAACTAACATCAGTATCCACTTTTCCAACCTTCCATAGTCAGGTTTCGTTTTTGCTGACGCTGGTTTTGATGTCTGGATGGGAAATATGCGTGGGAACAGGTATTCTAGAAGTCACATTCGCCTAAATCCCGTCTTCAGCAGCTTCTGGGAATTCAAGTGGGTCTACATTTCAGCCCTGAAACGGGTGAAAATAATTTCAAGCCTTTTCAGCTGGGACCAAATGGCTCAGTACGACCTGCCGGCGATGATCGATAAAGCATTGGTGGTATCTGGGCAACCGTATGTCTACTATGTTGGACATTCGCAGGGTAGCCTTACGATGTTTGTCAAACTTTCTGAGGACTCGTCTTTTTCCAGAAAGGTTTGCCCATTCGGGATGTTCTCCCACTAGGACTCATCTACATTCAAAGCTTCCAGATCAAAATGTTCTTCGCATTGGCACCAGCGGTATACATGGGCAACTGTATAGGCTTATTTAAAGCACTGGCTGTAGAGTACTCATCACAGCTCACTGTTTGTTCACTTGGATACACCACGTTAAAAACCAATTTGTTACTTACATTAGAGGCACCGTTCACGATAATTTTGGGTAATCCAGATTATGATGAAAAATGGAAGACAAGATCGAAACTAGTGCGACTGAGGTGAAGAAACTGCGTGCATCGGTGTTTCCAAAGTGAAAAAAGGCTTCGAAAAAACGTTAAGAAGGGGGCTAAACGAGAATGAAACCAGAAAAATGAGAAGAGTAGGGTGTCTGGACGAGCTAAATAGTGTTTCACTGCGCGCGTGTGGGTCCTGGTGCGAAGAACAGACACTTATAAGCATAAATAAACAAAAAACCCTAGTAACAGCAAAAGTAGCTCACCTCCAAAAGTAGCTGATTGTGCGTGGGTCCTAGAACGAATAATAGCAATCTGTATTGTCTCGACACTCGTCTAACGTGACACCGATCGAGGGGCGGGGACGCGAACTACGGCAACATCGGGGCTGCCACAATGCCCTGGACGTCGAGATTGGGGGAGTGAGAGGGTCCCTTCTACAACCCATGGGGGCCGCTGAGTATTAATAAGGTAAGAACTCAATACCTTTTTTTCGTGAACGGTGCCTTTAACTATTCCGTCGACGTCGGTCAAATACTGCTTATTTTTACAGACTTGGATAGCATATTTCGGATCTGGTGAATTCCTTCTGAATGGCTCCTTCTTGGGATATCTCACACCATCGGCATGTGAAACAACAATTCAACGTGAACTTTGCAAGCAAATCTTATTCGCATTTGGTGGCCCTGGTACGAAATACACGAATACGGTAAGTGAGAAAGGAATAATAGTTACCACGTGCAGGCTTTGCTGGCCTGTTTGCTTTCCTATGCAAAAAAGGCGATAATTTGCTCCCGACTATACTGCCTTACGTGGTATTAAAGAAGCAAGATGAAACCAAAAAAATTACAAAACGAAATGTTACAGTTCCTATCTGAATCTTTCCAAAACTGCGTAGTGGGTTTTCAAGGACGTGTCACGGACGAATTTGAGACTGCACTAATTCCTTGGTTTCTGGGAAACTATTGAGCGAAATCTCATATCCTCTTTCATAAGTGCTAACATTCTGCGGAGAACAGATAACTTAATTAGATACCGAAAACTAGTAGGATCAAACCTTATTAGGCCCTATTCGATCAATGTAACTCTTTCTCAATGGTGTCACTGAATTGAAATCAGGAAAAACAAAGCGTGCTGGTTCGATACGCATTCAAAGCTTCAATGAATCTAAAAAGAAGTAGGAGACATGTCGTATCGGAAAAAGAATGGCACACAGCTGAAGGAAATGAAATTCAGAGTCGAATTACCGTCTATCTATCCCACTTTCCTGCGGGCACGTCATCTATGAATATCCTTCACTGGGTTCAAATGATCAATACAGGAACCGTGACCAAATTGGATTATGGCCAAGGAACGAATATAGTTACATATGGGCAGGTACAGCAGTTTTCTTGCCTCAATTAAAGAACAGAATCTGGTCGATTTCAGATTAACCCTCCCTCATATAATCTTCGGAACATTCCCAATGTCCCCGTCTATATCTTTTCGGGAGGAAATGACTGGATCGCCACCGAATATGACATCAGGACTTACCTGATTCCTCTTTTAGGACCTCGTCTTCAGGTGACTTGCTCAATGTCTGCAATGTTCGCACACATCCAACTACTTTCAGATGCACACCTATCTGCCTGAATACAGTCATTTCGACTTCACATGGGGTCTCAATGCAGCCGACGATGTTTACAAACCCATAGCGGGTCTTATCCACGAAAGCTTCTATAGAGTTCGAGAAGCAACTGCTTCAAACACCAATATATAGCCTTGAAGAATAGGCAGATTCGTTCAGTTATAGATTATAAAAAGTAATTCTCTAGTTCTGCTGTGAATGTACTGAGAGAACTAAGAGGCTAGAGCCTGTATTCCATATTGACGGGAACACAGAGTTCAATCTCGTCCAAATTCACGATCTTTCTCTTCGGGTCTCCCATCATAAAAGCTCCGGTTTCAATACAGGTCCGCTATAGTGTCTATGGTAAGCGATCTTGACACTTAAACTATTAAAGTCTTTGTCGTCAAGCAATTCCGTTTCTATCTAAGATACGCCCTGCATTGAACTTTCATTCTGATTTCGTTTTCGGGATGTCTCTGGCGCCAACTAAACAATCCCCAGGAAGAATGGGAAACTTGGTGGCATAGTGTTTCAATCACTGACTTGATCTTCAGACCACGCGTGGGATAGTGCGCCACTTGGCACTGCACCACCTCAGCGCCTCGTAAAGTTCTGTCTTATCAATAGTCAATGAGACTCTAATTTTTAAATAATTCCAAATGAATCAGTCATCTCTAGTATCTTTACCTAGGACGGCGCTTTTTGTGCGAATTTTTCCCAATTCATTATATGAGTCTGACATATTATCCACCTTACTGCAATAAGTGTTTGTTACTAAAACCATGAGTCCAATTCTGTGTATATTCAAATACTTCAATCACTCAAGGATCGAGGTTTATGCGTAGGCGGATTCGGCAAGGATTGTAGAGCGTTGCCATTCATTCCTTTGAGCACATATACTATCCACCTTTGTCAAGCTTATGGTACTGTCGGTTCATGGGGTTTGGTGATATCAGATACTAATGCATGCTATTAATTTCAAGCGATACCGAATGATAGTCTAGGTTGTAGCAGAACTTTAATTTCTGCGACACTTTATTGCTCAAGGTGATCTAGTAGCACGAAAAACTCAAATATTGATATCGATATTGTTTTAAATTAATATCAAGCATTGGCATCGAATATCACCAGCTTCATAAACTACATGAACCAGAAGAACTTGCGTTAAAAGTTGGTCATGAATGGTAAGGACATACATGAAAAGGAATGAGAGGCAGCGCCACACAATCTTTATGAGATCGCCATGCTTAAGCCTCTATTCTTGAAAGGCTGAAGCATTTAAATGTGCTTAAAGTCTGTTCATAGTTAGAGCAGCGGGCGCTAATTGTGATAACCAATACACCAAGCAAATGCGAACATGTTAGATAAACGGATTAGGAAAAACTACAGTATAGGCCGAGGTAAAGACACTATACAGAAGACTCATTTATTCGGAATTGTTTGAGTATACGTTCTACTAGTAGTTGGAGAGAAGCAACTTTATGAGGTGCGGAGGTAGTGCGGTCCCGAATTGCTCACCAGAACACCCTTCGGCCGGTGCGAAAAAAGGCGTGCTACTTCCCTAGGTTGAACATTTCTGATGGGATCCTATCACACACTTTCTGGTGTGTCAGCTTTTCCGACTGTTTATTCCATTAATATAAAAGCCCAGAGTAAAAGAAACAATCATTGGTTCACTCGCAATCATTCAATCGCCTCACCCACGAGTTCCTAACGTAAGTAAAACGAGAAAAACGAAATCAAAAGCGAAATAACGACAAAACTGAACATCCAAAAGAAATTTTACATAAAAAGTAGATATCGGTTAGCATGAACCGCTCACATCAATAACATGACGACACAATAATAGAATAATTTATTTGAGAGTCATGGCTCAATAAAATACAAGTCTTAAAATACTCTCTAAAGGCAGTTTGACACAGTTTAAAAAGAATGAATATGAAAATCATATAACAATCCTTCTTCTTGTAAAGCCATCGGTGCGGGGCTGATTACCTGAAAACCTCTTCGTCACTCCTAGAAGAGGTGTTAGTCAAACTCTGCATGTATACCCTGCCGTTACAATAATGCAAAAGAAAAATAAACGAATCGGTAAATTAGGGAAATACTCAGTAGTGTAGAGTGAGTGAGTGCAAGCGGTGAAGCTAATGTATTAATTACTTGTGAACTGAGCTTGTCTATGCTAAAAAATCAGAGCACGGAAATCATCACCGGAGCCCACCCTTAGCCAAATAACTATGAAAACCACTGCTAAGGCTGGGTAGCTCAAGTTTCTCATTGAGTTAGAGTAAAAGTCGCAGTGCGTGCGGAAGCAAGATTGATCACCGCTCCATCTTTAATTCTTATAATCGCCCTAAAGAACATGGATCCCGTTTGAACCACCGAAAACTATGAACTCCGCTGAACGTTCGTACCTGCTCTTGCATCATTAACGGGCCTTGAACATCTCAATACTAACTTGAGATAATTTCTCAATCATCCTACCTGATGGCACATATCAATTCGCATAATGACGTAACGAGGTGTAATAAAACCATAATCGTGTGGCATCCGTAAAATCAACCGTTCTTTTTCGAGATTAAATGGGAGCTGTCGGGCCTGAACCATTCTCGCTAAGATAGAAATAGGCATCATTAGATCAGAAAAGCTAATAGAATGTTGACTGAAGATGAATATGAAGAACCTACCATCTTGTACAATTCACTTTTTCGTAGTAAAGCCGCTAGAATAATTGAATATTTGAAATAGGGAACTTCTAATACATTTCCTGCTGCATCTCGTGGAACTATCGAGGCAGAGTGCATCAATCGCGCCATCGATCCTGAAAGAGTAAACTTCCTCTCAAGTTGTTCTGCTCGATTGGTGATTGTCATAGATAAATTTCTCGTTATGTACCCCTCTTTTCCGCAACAATTTATTTCTGGAAAATTGACTGTAATTCACCAATTTCTCAGACTAATACTGACTTGACGAAGCTCGAATATTCGATTGACGCTAGACTGACGCTAGCTTGAAAAACACAACAAATACACTCAGCGGATATTTTCACCCTACACTGCCTTAAAGTCACGAAATCGCCACGGAAGCGCAACTTGTTCTTTTCTAAAGAATACGAGCCGTCAGCATTAGTGTAGGTTCAAAAGGTATAAAAAGGGTTGCTGAGCAGAGGAGAAAATGCACAGCCTTGATGAGGAACTACTTTTTCTTGTAAGAGTAATGCACTTGGATGAATCTTTAAAGTTATAAAGCAAAGAAATCGGTTCTTCCTAGTGATCATTTGGGCAGACATAAAACTCTGGAGAGTCGAAATGTTGTAGAAAAAACTGGTTTAAGTGCATAAATTGCCTTAAACTTTATCGCTGTTCGTCAGACTTCGTCGAACAACAATTTCTGAACCGAATCAAAACCTGGAGCACCGAACGCAACTCATAACATGATGGGCGTATAAGAAAAACATATTTGCAGCCAGTCTGGTGAACTAGGGACTCAAGTTTACAGAGCAAAACTCAGGATAGCATCCCCAAATGAACAGGAGTGTTGTATCTCAATGGATCCGTTACATTGTTTCGCCGCACCGTTTACGCTCACTTGATTTTGTTCTCATATTAAATCTCTACATAAAACCTGGCAATCTTGCTAATGATCAAAATGGATTGAATCGCAGCGAAAAACAAAAGTCAACAAAATCAAAACAAAATGTGCCCAATGGCCTGTTCTTGGCCACTGTGTTGCGATGTTGAACTTTAAGGTAAATAGGAAGAGTAAAAAATTTACAAAGCTCCGCTCAGCCTATTGAATCAGGGCAGAGAAGCAGGATTTTGTCGAATTAGCAAACAAACGTATTAGTTGATCACCTCGTTCGCTGCCAAAACCATTCCAGTTATAGACAAATCCATTCGCTCCAACAAAATCAGCTTCGGTGACCTCAAGAAGCATAACTTAAATCCATTTCATGATGCATATGATGTAAACCTTCGCTTAGCGTGGTATAGAAGTGTCTTACACTGACCATTAAAGCGCTTCGTTGTTTATCCTTGAGTTCCCAGACCTTCTTTCGATGAACATCTAGGACAGAATTTCCCAGAACAAGTGGTGACAAAGTTTCAATGTTTCTCTGAAAAAAATGCACATAAAATCAGGTAGAGGAAGCATAAGCATGGTAAAAACGACCTACTCCCACAACAGCATCAAGTATAATTCGGAACACCTTACGACCACCTTGAATTAAATCATCACTACTCATAGTGAGACAGGGTTCTGCACCAAGGACGAATATCTTTGTCTGAACAATTGAAATACAAAGGGAAAAACAAGGAACTAGCGCAAATTTCAGAAGTGCATGGAACATGAACCAGGTTACATCGTGCCTTGCATAGCAACTTCAACTGTAGCTCACCTTCAGCCATGAAACGTAGGCCCTTGTTCTTGTCCACAAGTCGATTCCCTTGAAGTCTGTCAGAACGAGGTTGTTTTCTTCTTTAAAACACAATCCCTACAATTCCACAATATGGCTTTCCACCAGAATTTTACTTGACAGAGCCCTTACATGCTGGTATTTACTTGCTGTCTCAGTGGCATCCCTCGTCAAGGAGAACGCCTTTTGATCAGGAGGGTAATGATTTTGTGTACGAAGTGGAGCTCGGTTCCTGACAAAAAGATGTTTGCTTTCAAATGACAAGATACTGCAGCAACTACACATCCCCTCTAAAAAAGCTCCACAAGCTGAGAGGTAATCACCGAGATTGGGAATTGATAGCAATACCCATAAAGCGGTTTCTGAAGGTAATGTTGTGAACAAAGCGCCTCTAACCATAAGTACCTTGTCATGTATAGAAATATCAGTTTAAGAGTTCGTTAAAGACTGTTCACAAATTGCCTTCGACAACATGATCACGAAAGGGGAACCAGTGGATTTCACGATCTAATACACCAGTCAAAGAACAGTTAGAATGCAGAATTGCTCAACGCGAATATGACAACTCAAAACATTTTCAGAATTGCAAAAAGTCCAGACCAAGAAGGATTGCTTACGCACTCTCATATTAGCATGGGAGAGGACAAGACAACTGTTTAGGCAAACCTGAGCCTATGCCTTCAGAATCACCTGGGTACCCGAGTGCGTTCCTATTCCTAGGTGTGATTCCTGCACCGGTCGCAGGCATCCTTGAAGCTACAAATAAAATAGTATCTTGCTCGCGCAAAGGAGTGCTCCCATTTTCTCACCATGAACTCAGTCATCAAGCGCTGATCAGTTCAATAAGGGTCTCAGTGGTAAAACGAACTCACCAAACTTTGGCTAAATTGTAAATGTCGGAAAACTCTCCCTCTTCTTCTGTACTCGAACAAGTCACACGTCGATATTCTGGAAAAACAACTTCTCATAAAGAAATTTTCGCTTGACAATACAAAAAAAAACAGCACAAGTAAACCCATAAAATAAAAACAACAAAAATCGAAAGAAATTGAAATTCATTGCATAAGAGTTTTACCTCTGCATGATGAGATCGGTTTTTGACGATGGTACAACAACCGAAAAAAGCGTTTTGCGACATGCACCATACGAAGACCACTTGATGGCGCGGTGTCGAGTAGTGCAATTCTGATCACATCTTCCTCAGTTCTGATCAGGAATAAATTAGAAAAGAAATATCAAGCGAAAGCCACGTTGTGATTCAAACGGAAAAGAAAAATTGAACATTTATAAAATCTACTACGACACTTCCATAAAGCATATACCTGATCCGTTCAACGCGAACAAGAACATCCGTGAAGGAATAGGAATTGAATTTTTCGGAGACACACCATAGGAGTGCCTCCATCGAACACATATACAATTCTTATATGATGAAAAATGCGAAAACAACAAACAACAGATGTAGAAACCATACCACTTTGAGATATTACCGTAATGCTCAGTACCCAATTGCTTTTAGTTGGGCCTTGATAGTGATAACATCTTCTAATTATCATGAATTACAGCTGCTATATTGGCAATCCGAAGTTATCTCTTCGATGATTAACAAGTACCTCTTGATTCATGGCTTTAGAGCTAGGAAAGAGAAAAAGTGAGGGTATGCTGAAGCAGCCATAACCATCGAAAGTGTCTGCCTGATGAAAGCCGACTTATCTATGTGCGAAGGCTATCACACAGCTCGGCAGGCTTGCGAATGCGAGAAATTTCAGAAACAAGAATAATGTCAGTGGAGAAAAACAAGTGATATCAACGATTTTGCTATTGCATGGGCATGTGAAAATGCAGAACCTGGGCGAAGGGAAAATGGAGAGGTTACTTGGATCAGTTCAAGTAACTCAACGGTCAACGAAAGAGCAGGTGATACAAGTTATAGGCAATGTGACTGGAAAACTCGTCCAAAGTTTCCGCATGAAGCTAAAAGAATCAATCTGCAAGTCGGGACATCGAGTTGCGAGCTTAAGACATTGGAAGCTCGAACAGTCAAGAATAAAAGAATTCTTCAAAAAATCCTAATTTTGGGCATTACAACGAACTGGGTGGGAATATAGTGGTTGAGATACTCGAAAGAGATAAGGATGAATCAAACCATGCAATGATGAAAACAAGAGTGACTAGCAAATTCAAACCACCTAGATGACTAAGAATTGGAACTCGAGTAATTGCACATCGCTTTCAACTTCTTGCTTGCCGATGATTTTGTTCCCGAATGTAATGAAAGCGAATATGAGCCTGGGAGCCGCATAGCCGTAACCTGTTGGCATCGGTAAATAATCTTCAGNTCAATAAGGGCTACATCTTTTACCTGAAGGATAACATCTTTGAATGATAAAAACCAATGAGGAGTGAGAACACATTTACAAGCACTTACCGCATCAAAAAGTAACTGCTTCTTGTAGAATGCACAGCAAAGAAGACTGTACGTGATATGAGGAATTTTGTTTCGGAGCATCGGCCGTATCAATTGGAATGGGCCTGGAAATGGTGATTATAGTATTCATTACAACTAGACTTATATAGGAACCTACGAAAACGAAGATTTTAAGACCTTCCGATGATGGAAGAGTCATGTGAGTGGATTCTAATACAAAAGATTAAGCGTAGATATAAAATTACCAAAAGGCGGCCCTATTACGTATGTAGTCAGCGATCAAACCGTGAACCATTACCGCCCAGTACATCTGTCACTTCCAACTATGTGCTGAGGAGACTATGCAAGCATCGTATGGGAGAGTAAAAGCTTTAAATCGTACTTTGAGTGGTTTCTGCAAGTCACTGTATAGGCAAACATGTTCATTCCACTACGATTCTGAATGGATGCCATATACTAGGACGCATCGCATCAAACAGCACCAGAAACTTCATCTAATGCCTTCTTTTAAACAATTTTAGTCTGGAGAATGGAATGGGAGGAAAGAAAACCCTCACTAAATTGGCAGAAATAAATTGACAAGTGACAGCAAATCTAACGAAGATTGTACTTTCGAATAGAAAACGCACCAAGAACTCCTGGGGCTACGCACCAAGAACTCCTGGGGCTATGGCATAGACGTCCTGCTCGGTGAGATTTAGTAATTCTCGCTGCTTGTCACTCATACTAGAGCTTGCAGCCTCAAACCTCCTCGCAACATCTTCGCCACAATAGTTCTTTTCAACCAGCTCGGACAACTTATTCTGCAAAACATTCAAGAGAGCTAAGCGCTTAAGCGCTCCTAAAGACATGGACCCACGTAAAATCAACGCTTAAGGAAAATTCCATGTAAACAAAAAACCGAACCTTGAACGCATGTTGACTGATTACTTCAAAAACCTTCTTAGTTCCCGCGCGTACTTCTGTATCATCAAAAATACCAGTCGCTTTAAAGAACTCGTAATTTCCTTTAGCCTAAAATAGCGTTTTTCAGAACGTAAACAGAGAAGTTCGTACAAAAAAAAGGAGAGAAACTGACTCGAACTTTCCTAAAGAAATGTCTGAGCATCATGAATCCAAGAGGAACCATATTGACAAATCCTCGTTCCGGTCGCAGCTCAATCTAGACCCCTTAGCTTTTAACAAATTAATGTAGATGAGTTAAGAATATTGAAAGATATAGTGAAGCTGCTACAGCAACTTCAGAAACCTTACCGGGTGCATTATTTTCCCCAGAAACTTCCGTTCCACAATGGCATATGGCTGCTCTTCTAATGGCCATTCATTAGGCTGTTTTCGAAAACGTTGTCTAAACAAATAACGGGGAAAATTTGAAAAAAAAACTTTCCTGGCTGCTAAGAATAACTTACATTACTTTCAAAACATTTACACTATCTTCGCCAAGTTTCTGACTCATAAGTAAATTCGTAACTTCTGACGTCTCTGAAAAGACATGCTTGGAAATAGCTGACATTGAGATCTTCACAGTCAAAGTTGATGAGAAGCTCACCCCGTGCCATTCCAGCTCTGGGAGGGTCACCATCTTTGGCCAGACATCGTAATGACAAACTCAGAAGACGTGTTTGGGCAATAATATTGCTCAGCGAATGGCATAATCGTGTCATTAGGACACGATTAGCAAATAATGATCAAGTATGAACGAATGAAAGTGGCTAGTGATTACCAAATGCACAACTAATTATTTGCTGATTGACCTTATTTTTTTTTGACGCCGACAGCGTGCGGTGGCCGCAAGCACCTTATCATACGCCATACTGCAGACGTAGACTGAACACTTATAATGCCAACCTACCTGTGGGCATATGGATGACTAGCACCTCAACCCTGGGAATAGGTCATTGATTCCCGTGAAATTGAGTGGGAGCCAGGTGTTTATTGGCAATGATGGCGGTGAAGTCTGGATCAACTGGTGTGAAGCAGAGTTAATTCACTCGGATCCCTTTATAGAATGCCCTGTGTCGAAAAAATGGATGTTGAGCCAATTGACCTTTTACCGTCTGCTCTAAAACACAATCTCTAGTCGCCCTGAAAGTTGCAATAACCTGTGAGCAGTAGCTGGATTACGGTAGGGCAAAGATAAGGCTCCTTGGCATTGATCATTCGTGCGCCCCACATTTCACTTCCACTCAGAATTGTTACGATTCTAAACAGGGATGGAGCCAATACCAGCCGAAGCACGAGCCATTGCTTCAATCTTCCCATATGAGTCGGTTCCCAACTGACTACATGCGCTCTAGTCATACTAGCCACGCTACTATGAACGTATCAGGCGAGCTACTCTCAACGCTATTTTATAATATACTGTTTTACGGATAATATCACGCTGGGATGACGGCTTCCGTCGTAGGAGGCATTAAACATTTAAAGCTTTCACAAGTGGTAGTAACCACAGCCAGGAGCGCTCTCCAAAAATAGTTTTAGGAGGTCGCTCAGTTGACAAAAAGCGACACAGCAACTATAATGCGAGACTTATAATCAAGCCTTTATTATGGAAAACACTAGTAAATCACTCATAGGCATCGCCTAGTTGTTT